CTGCGCTCCCGTGTGCGCATTGTGAGCCATTGGAAGTATTTCATAGCAAGCTATTGTATTCAGACACTGACTCGGAGGGAATTCTGTGGATTAGCCTCACGGTCGAGTGTCGCAGAACACACGGGTTCGTTTGTCTCGGATTGTTTTCTCACACTGCAGTAGTATGATCCATACCATTACCATATTACGGGTGGAATTACAGAATTCCCCAGAAACTGACATTCCGAACATATTCGAAACTTTGAAGCCCAGCTGCTTCAATTAAGGGAAACGCGATCCATGGCCGTGAAATCGAACAGCGGGAAGACTGCGAATCCGACAGTTCGTTCCACACAATATGATCGAAATTTCGGACTTTGGGCAAACGTTCCTTGAGGGGACCTCACTCCGATAAACGTGGCGCGAGCGGACATTGGGGCGTTTAGTCATTCGCAAATAAAGTACCGTCGACGGTTGACGGGCAATTTTGTGGGCGTCGCTATTCGATCAATGTTGAAGAATTCGGTGTTCGGCCGAAGAATTGAAGAGCAAATCGGAATATCGACACACGCATGCTCAAACAAAACAGACAGATGTAAGAACAACAGCAACAACGAACCGCCTTGTTGAATCGGATGAAATCCGTTGCAGAGCAGAGGTCAGCAAGGGTTGCGGCCGCGTTTTGGATTACGAGTCGACCCTGACTCGAGCGTTTCGCATTGAGTCTCTTCGTCGAGTATTTGGTTTGTTCGACAGCTGTTATTCCTCGACGTGATCGACCAGAAAGACAGTCAGCTGTTCCCAGTGGGCTTTCGTCTACCTAACCGATGAGTAGATGCGAACACCCATGAGCCGAGATGTGGTCGATGGCGGCGGAAACGGCTTCGATAGACATCAATATTGATGCCTCGGATAATTTTCCCGCTTGTTTAGTCTCGCATCCCTCTCTTGCGTCGGAAGGTAGCCGGAGAGCAGCGCCTTTCAATAATCTTCGATTCGACTCAGGGGTTCACGGATATCACTCGTCGGAACTTCTTCGAGCGCTCTTCAAGCAGATGATACCGACGGTTCACTGACAAATAATGTGATCAACGGAACCTTGACTGGAAGCTCGAGAAAAAAGTTTCAAGTTTTAACCCGGCCGCAAGTTCCTTGCTAAGAACTTCTTTGGAGTCTCTACCCGAAGTCCGATGAAAGACCCGCTGCTACGGATTCGAAACTTTGGGCACCAGTCGATTGAAATCTGTTTAGCAGCAGAATAGTTTCTCGCTCGGCGAGCCTCGGTTCCACATCAGAGTATCAGAATGACTGCGCAGTCACAAGAAGAAAGATCCGGATTTCAAAGGAATCAGGAGGGACACCGGCTGAATGAGTCGAGAAAGCAAACGCCTGACTCCGAGCACTCGTTCGCTCGCATTCGTTCGTTCCTTCTTTTTTCTGATTCCGGTCCGGCTTGCTTGTCGTCTTCGTTGTCGACGGCGCTGTGTATGCGAGAAGGCAGTTAGGGACGCGTAACGACGACTCGAGATCCCAATCTTCGTTCGATCCCCGGATGTTCGTGGGAATTCTCGAATTCCTTCTCGCTGTTGACATTGCCCCGTAAGAGAAAAAAGAGACTGCACCTTCCCGCAATCATAGGGATACATGGGCAATGATTCCCAGTCTTCCGGGGGTAGGTCAACAAAAAGCTCTGGAAACGATTTGTGGATCTCGACTCGACAGCACATCCTTCCGAGACACCGCGCGACAGTTCTGACGGTCCCTTAGTCAGACAGTCACTCTGACAGTCGAAATATCCAGGGAACGAGTCGATTGCGTCTGCGAGAACCAGCCGGCTATCTCATAGTCTATGTGTTCAGACGGAGCGATAAGCGGAGCAAAAGCCGGCGTCGTGGGAAACGACCGATCGGTCGCTCAGATAGTCTGCGTTTACCGCTGGAAGAACTCTGGGGGTCTACGTTGCATGAAACGTTAGTCCGTGACAACGGCCCACCTTTCGGGAGCTGACCGTTGTCGCTGCTACTCGAGTGGCAGCCACCGCAGCGGTGGCGGCGACGAGCCGGTGGCCCGAAAACGAGCGACAGCAAATCACAGAACAGTGATGCCCGTCGACCACGACAATGACTTCTGCCCCTTGACCACGATTTGCAGACTTAGTCCCGCTCGAGAGTCGAGCACTTGGAAACTCAGCCGCCGGATGGGGTCAAGTTCACGGTGCGAGTTGGCGCGAAAAGCACCACTTCTTCACCACATGCCACGGCGTCTGCAGGCTTCCTTGCCCACCTTCGCCAACGCTGGCGCCCGCCGTTCGACCCAACGTTCATCCGGCCGCCCGTCCGGATCCTGAAGGAGGAGAGAGACAAATATTGAAAAATATGACGACGATGATTCTGGAGATAACACGCCGATGATGGATATTCACCGGTTCCGCAAACAGCTGCGTTGAGCGTTTTCGTTCTTCTGTTGATGGAGGATGTCGTGGGAGCGGAATCCGAGCTGGAGCCTCGAAGAAATTCAAAAACGACCCACTTGTCCGAAGTCAACTTCAGTCAAAAGCTCTTTGAACAATCGCTCGGCGAACGACAAGTTCGTTGGCTTGTCGAGTCAAAAAGTCATAGCCCGGCACGGGTGTATGTACAGACCGCGGATGGTTGTGGGCAGCCGCGTTCGTTCGGCTCTCCTGGTCACAACAACAATTGTTGAGTCGTTCCATGGTGTTGTTAATGTCAGAGCAGTGAAGTACCATATGGAGAAAGAAGAAGTTTTCCGCTCCTCCTTCATCTTCTGGTTACTGACATAAAACATGGCGCAATCTCTCACAGTCGGCGCCGTGGAGCACTTAGCAAGAATGCCGAAAAAGCGGACTACAGAACAGCACTTGCTCTGCGCCGATTTCCAAAGCCGGCGAACTTTCGTGAGATACACCCACAGAATAAGACTCGGAAGGCTCATTTTTCTATCCGTACACTTCTCAACAATGTTTTTGCTGCTCCTTTCTTGTTACCGTTATTTCTGAAGCCCATTACCGCTCTCATTTCCCCGACGTCGATCGAGGAACTCCCGTCTCCACGTGGGGGGTCCGGAGCTCGCAGTGATCCTGCTCGGCAGGCGATCAGGATTATAGAACTAATTTCAACATCAGACGCGATACCCTTCGAGAGACCTCTCTATTCGACGAGGAGTCAGTTGCGCCCAGAGGTATTGGGGACGGTGGCCGTATCGTGACAAACCCGTCCAATAGTCATTGACTTGACTCGAAAGTTGCGCAGTGATGTACGTAATCCGGAGAGATAGTTTTACGCGTTCGTGGATTCCCCCGCATGAATTGCACAGCTGATCATAGCATTTGCAAGGAGGTAATCATAGTGGCAATGATAGCATATCCGGCACCCGCGGAAGAGTTGCCATCTTCTCACATGTATATTATTTCAAAACGACCTATCGGAGGGGTGAGTTATTATTCGATCTGACATCGCTCGGATCACTGGTCCGCTTTAGGAGCTGAGAATCGTGACGCATCGAAAGGGGAGCCTGGGGGACTCACGATTTATTCGAGCATAATACCAGAGAAAAGCTTGAGAACAAAGGAGCTCATGACGAAAAAGTAGTTTTGAACAGTTTGCAGGGCAGATAGATCATGGATCCGGCGGGTGAAATTCAAGTTGGATCCCGACGTCTTGCTAAGGCCCGGAATTCGCATTTGCAACCAGTTTGAAACTACGAAGCATCTTAAGAAATCCTTTGATTCGTATTATTGCTCTTTCGAAACGCAGAGTAAGGCAATTATTGTGAGTTCAGTCGTCTCCCAATAGCCCAATTGCCCGTTTCCCCGGACTCTCAATTGACGTACCCCCGCGAATAAATACCGCTGAGTTCTGGAATTATCTCCGTTCCACCCTAGGTCGGATGAAAATTGGCAGAAACATACGGGAAGTTCGAGAATCTGTTTGAAAAAAGGAACAAACGGACTGGCATCTTGCGGCGAGAAAAAAACTAACGCTGAAGATCATCGGGAATCGCTGCGGGCGTGGATGTTTTAGTCTAGGTACAAATTATTACAGCTCCGCCGCATATCATAGATTAATTGAGATGATATTACGCGGCAGGTAGGGGCTCGGCCGGTCTGACCAGAGACTTGAAATTCCGTCCTCAACTCGTGGTCATCGTCTAAGAGCACTTTGATCCAAGGTTCGATATCCCGCTCTTGTGAAGTCCCTCTGACGTGTCTGATTCGGACATTCATGAAAAACTCCCGGGAGCACATGCCTTGATGAAGCGCTCCGAAATTCGCTACCGTATTGGAATTTTAGAATCGAGCGCAATCGATTCGGCATTAGAGACGCCGCGATCATATGAAAATAGTGAGGGATTCCGACGAGCTTCCCAGTCGCTCAATCCTTCGAGAGATAGACCACAAGATTCGAGGGATGAGACAACACCCACGTCGGTCACGAAACCGCAAAAACTCCCCGTGGGATACTATGAAATATTTGAGATTCGTCTGCTTCAGCATCCATCCGCTTCAAACGAGAAGAATGAAGATCGGTCTGGACTGAGCGGAACACGAAGACAAACACAGCTCGTTACATAATGTGACCTTTAATTGAGTTTCCGAAAAACAGCTGAGCAGCCGATTTTTGCGTGATAAGACGGATTACGCTCGCTATTTCGCTAAAAATGAAGCAATTCTAATAAGACGGGAGGAATAGAAAGAACGTGCAGGGATTACCGAGCTGATCGCTCAAGTTCCTTTGCATCTTCATCTTTTTCCCCGGAATTCCCGGGCGGCCCATCTGCCTGTTCCTGTCGGGCGTCTATTTTCATCAGTTCCGAGATGAATCAAATTCCTGATCGACGATTGTCTTTGCTCCAGCTCGAATCCGAGCAAACGAACTCGCGTTTTGAATTTCTCGTTCCGTTCTTCTTCCACATTCAAATGGAAAAGACTGTTCTGTGCTCCGAAGAGACGGCGCTGCCCGTCTCAGCGCGCGCCCGTCCGACCGTCCGTCGCCATCACCGTTATGGTAATCAAAACGGTAGCAACCCGACTGGCCCTCATCGTGACTCGGAATGGCAAACAGATCGACGCCAAAGATTACCAGCTTCTCCATTCACGTGAAAAAAACAGTTCGAGCCCCAGGAGTTAATTAAAAGCGCCGAAACACACGCAAACGATCGGTCTCGCCCGTCGCGAGAATATGACCGTCGAGTTTCGATCTTTTCCTCATCTACGATAAATGAGAGTTCCTCATGACTAGTATTCGTTGCAGTACAATCGCCGTCTTCATCGAAGTGCTGTAGCTTGCCTCATTGTCAGTACGCACGCCGAAGCGAGCAGCTGCTTTCTTTGTTGTCCATTTTTTCTCGAGCGCCGGCATTATACAAAGCGTCACCCAACTGATAGATCCAGCGTAACAAGGCTGTGAAAAACCTCGATTGGGAGTGGCGGCGACCTCCGTCGATGATAATAATGAGTACGTAATCCGAAAAAGCTCAGAGAATCTCAGAGATATTCCATTTCACCGCCCGGAAACGATCTCTCCCGCCCACTTCATCGTAGGGGGAGATACTGTCTCCGACCGTTGCAATATTCCCGGACTCCCTTGAGTCTCCTCGGCACAGGCCTCGAACGTTCTCGCCCGCCGGACAGAAAGTCAGTCATCCGAACGCACGCTGACGTAGCCCAGAAAGTTTAAGCGATTCCCGTTCGGACAGCCCGGAGCGTTACACAAGACAGACAACACCCTCCCTCGCTTCTCGTCAGCCTCACCGTCGTTGTCGTCGGAAAGCATTCGTGTCGCAAGCAAAGAGAAGAGAAAGACGTCGTTTTTTTTGTCGACCAGAAATAGTGGTCACTCGATTTCGGGTGACAGACCACACAGGTGGGCGGTCGGAGAGTGTGTCAAGCGATAGCGTCCGGTGGCGGAAGAGACGTCTGCCCGTGCCAAATACTTTGATCGTACAACCTTGACTCGTGGGAATCAACGACCCTTGATGGCTACAAGTCGACGACAGCGGATGGGGAAAGATGGTCGGGAGAGCTTCTGGAAGAGGAAGGTGATAACGACTGCAGTCGCCATTACAATGGCTCCGGTAATCGCCAAGATCACCATCAGGATGACAGTTGAGAAAACGGAGAGAAGCGCAGGAAATTCTCGAGAAAAACACGCCACATGTCAATCCCCGTCAGCGTTCCCCTTTGTCACAGAATATTCGCTGCCGCAACAGCAGCGACGGAGGATGACACTGTGAGCTTCAATGAACCCCACCCAAAGTCCGGCGGGTCGTGAGGTCTCGCTCTGAAGGGAAGGCGACTCCGCTTTGGGGGAGAACGCACTATTTCAAGAAGTTTTTTTTTCTGGTGCTTTTGATGATGCCTGCAATCGTTTTGGCTATTGGTTTTCCAAGATAGGTTTGGTCCGAATCGAGCCAGCCGACTCCTTGCAGTCGGTGAAAGGTCGGCCCGCTCCTTTTGGTAGCTCCGATCTTCACCGGTCCTCAAGCCGCTAAGATTAGAAACGGGCGATGGGCAATGGTTTGTGGATCGACTATTAACAGCGGCACCAGCGCTCCTTGTGACGAGCGAGACAGAGCGGCCAACGGCGAGCGACAGGATTATTTGCAGACGCTCGGATCAAGATACCCATCGACAGGAAGCATAAAATAGCGTCGAATGACGTCAACGGTGACATAAGATGCGCAATTGCTCGTTTTCCGATAGCTGACTCATCAGGGCTGTGAGATCAGCCGGATTAATCGGTCGAGGGGATGAATGCATGAATGAATCGATCGATCGACTGATTGGAAAGAGATGCCGAGCCCGACAGCTGACAGCTGCGTTTGATTCGAACTGGAAAAAGTCTCTTTTGTTCGGAGTCCGTGACTTGTTAACGAACTCGTTAGTTTTTGAAGCTTGAACCTTGGAACGAGCTAGGATTCAATTCTGTAACGCCCCTCCCGAAGAAAAGTTCACGCCGTCTAACGTAGAGCCTTGGGATAACTCGATGCTTTACAAGTTCACTTCGGTAGTCCCCATTCTGTGTTTCACCAGCACTCCTTCTCCCTTGAATTCGGTCTATCCCAGGGAGCGGCGAATGGGCATCGATCTTTTCGAGCGCGGAGACAAAACAAATCCTCGCTGACAGGTGCGAGATGGGCAGGGTCGTCACCTAGGGGCTTGAGAGTTCAGGCCCTCGCGTAAGAACGGGATTTTCAGTATCTTCGGTTTGACAGACGGATTGCCGAACCGACAGTTCGACAGCGCGAGTCATTGCGATGACGAAATCTCTTATCGAGGCTCAATCGATGACTGAGCGACTGCCGATGCCGCTGATGACGATGATGACTTTCTACAGTACTGTCGTTTGTCTGTCCGTTTGAGTGAAGGATCCACGCGCGGTTCGAGCCACGCTGCCCCGTGGCACGATCACCGTGGATAACCCGTCCGTCTGACAGCCGGCTCAGCTTTCAAGTTTTTTTTTCCCACCACCGTAATCTTCTGCTGTTCATTGTGAGAGTGCGCGACGGTATCTTGAAGCGCAGTGATCTTTGCTCACCTTGATTTTTTTTCTTTGCAGATGAGGGCACAGTGATGAGAGCCATCCTCGTTCTGGCTATAGGGACGCTACTGTCTGCAGGTGACGGCGGCGGTTTCGTTTCTGCCAATCCCTTAGCACATCTGGGCTGCAAGTATTACGACGACGCGCTGATCTTCAACTGTGATGGATCTACGCTCGATCGAGTGTTGGAAGCGGTGCGGCACCTAGAGAAGAAATTTAGCCACGTTAGTTCGATACCCGTGAGGCATGTCAACTTGCTGCACGGCGATTTCACAGAGCTCCCCTTCTTTCTGAGCAAGTTCAACGAGACGCTCGAAGGTATCCGGATATACAACTCGAGCCTGACTCACATCTACCCCGACGCCTTCTCGGGCCTCTCGAGAGTTCGTTTCCTCGACCTCAGTCGGAACAATCTGACGGCGATACCGTACTCCCTGAGCAATCTGCATGGACTTCAGTTTCTCAATATGTCTTCGAATAGACTGCGGAGCCTCGAACCCCGATCCCAGTTCTCTAGTTGGAAACGACTTCGATTACTCGATTTGTCCTCGAATTACATCGACAATCTCGAGTTGCTCGACATCCAGCCTTCGGCCGCTCATCTGGAGCGGATACTCCTCGACAACAACGACATCGTCAACGTTCCCACCGAATGGAATTCTATCGCCTTGCCTCAACTCAAGGAAATCAGTCTGAACAACAACGCTCTGAAGACTTCGCCAATTTTCCAATCGAAATTCGTCCCCCAGCTCCGTGTGATGCGCCTCCGAAAGAACAATATCGAGAAGTTCCCCTTCTATTTCATGCCATCCTCACCGGGGAGCAACCTGACGGTCGACATGACGGGCAAGTATTTGTCTTCTGCTCAATTTTGAATATTATCCACGTATCCTCACGTTCGGGGTATGTCTTATGGTCATCATTTCGTGTTCTCTATGATTCCCCGAAATCTTGCGCAGAATCTTCCGGAGGTGATTGGCATACGTACTGCAATGAGGGCCGCGATGAAGGGTCGGGAAATGATCGAACTACCTTAGACCTGGAATCGGGTAGAACACGCCCCGGTTCCCTTGAGAATCCCGGGACAGATTCTCCGGCCGATCCGCCGCTCTTCCCTCGCGCTTCAGCCTTGTGGCACTGACCAGAGATTCTTCGGAAAAGGAGACGTCCTCGCCGGTCCTTGATGGTGGCGATCAGACTGTTTGGACGATTCAATTAGATCCCTTTCTCGTCTTCTGCACTGAGGTGTCTCTGTTTGCGTCCTTTCCTTCTCTTTCCGCCTCGCGTCCGCCGCACGGGAAGCTGCACCAGTTTTTCCGCTTCGCGGTTTCCGTACCGATTTTCCAGAGTACTCGTTCACGAAGTTTCACGCCGAGACTCCGCTACATTGTAACAATGTCGAGCGCATCCGAAGACCCTTGGCAGCTAGCTCGCCTAGATGATTTATGACAAGTGTTCACCTCTAGGAAAAGCAACGCTACCCGCTTCCGCCGCGGAGGAGAACATTCAATCGTAATCGAAGTCTGGGCTGTAGCAGTGGCTAACAGGCGAATTGTTGCAAGATTGAGCGTCGAGCTGTGAAGACAACGCACTTCCCGGAATAAGTTCCACTCAATCATCCCTTCAAAATGGCTGCCTTAATAAATCCACTCATTGTTTGAGCAGCGGGCGAACAGGTTGGCAGATCGGGACGCAGGCGCTGAGGCAGTCGAATTGGAGCAGAAGAACGAAACTCGGGAAAGTCGTTCCGACTACGCGACGAGTCCTTGGTCTGGAATTACTGCTTAGTTTCATTTCCTGCTGCGAATACTCATTTTTGATCTTTTAACCACAGCCTTATCCCCTGTCTCCGATGCTAACGGCAAATTGTGTCTGCGCTTTTGCTCGAGTCCAGGCGATGTTTGTTGTCGCCCGAACGAGAAAAGCTCCTCCAGAGCCCCCGTTGATACCATTGTCATCTGAATCGGGAAGTGTCATTCAATTTGACCTCCCAATCGTTGGAAATCGACTCGTTGGTCGCTTAATAATCGATCCATCATAATCGAGGAGGGGTCCAGCACCTACGCTACGAATCATTCACCCTCTCACGTTCATTGAAGATATATCGTCGAAGTCTAGTCTTAGGGTGCGCTGCTCATTCGCAATGCTCTTGAACAGAACTTTCCCAAGTCCAGGCTTAATTCAAGGATCGAGCTATCTCGTCTCCAGCTAATAAGTAGTCTGGGAGTCTTGCTTCGGAATTCAGGGATCTCTGAATTAATTGTTCGGAATCAGAGCTGGACTTGTCAATCTCGAGCTGAGTGAGTGATGCGCAATTATCATTGACATCGGATGGAAAGGAATCCATGCCCCGTATGATCAAAAACTTTACCCTACAATTTGATTCGCTGGGAATCCTTGAGGGGTCGACAAATCGCGTCGCGCTTTGACACTCATGGTCAAGATACAACACCGCGACCGAATGCAACTCCGGGACTCCGACCGACGGGCGCTCACAGTTTGAGCACACTGTTTTGATTTCCACCAGGCAGATGTATCGCTTCCAGTGACGAGTATGGCATCGCAAGAGCCGTCCATCAATCTGTCGGCCGTCTCGGCGACTTGATCGAATCAATGATTTGTTGTCGAATCATTCCTCCACCAGCCGAACCCTAGAAGCCCGCTGAGCGAGTCTGGGGCCACGATTTACAACAAAACAATAATTCGCGATTAGTCGGCTTGCGGTCTGCCGGGATGATGGATTGTTCATCGATCTGGCGGGTGGAGCCAAGAGGGAGATCAAGGAATCGAGGGGAATGTCGGAGGACGCCGCTGATCCACATCGACGTCCGAGTCGCTTTCTATACCGGAACTCGGGAACCGGAAACGCCCTCCATATAGTGTTCCATCCGATTGTCAATGCCACCGATGCCCGCTCTGAACAATAGATGATACTGCAGAGCTACTCATTGGTGTGCGGGATCGTTATTGATTAGCTGCCACCCGCATCGTCGTCGATATCGATAGCGTCACCACGAAAACCAATGCCAAGCCCCGAGTGCATCATGGCCATACTCCTCGCCTACTCGAGCGGAGAACAATCACACGATTGCCAAAATCATCATCTTCATCGAACTTTGTTGAGATTCACCATCAAGCTCGCTTTGGGTTCCGTCACTCCCACGCAGGAGATCACATGCTCAGTTTTATTACGCAAACGTGGTCACGGCTCTGGCGGAAACATGGGGGAGGGGGTTCGGCAAGTGTCCGAGGAGCAAGAAGCACCAAAGAAAATTAGTCACGCCTCGGAACGGAAACCAGACTTTCCCCCCAATTTATTCTCCTCATTTGGCGCGAGTGACCTCCGATGGCTGCGTCCATCGGATGAATCTCGTTCGAATTTCCCCTCGACGGATATGACAAGCAATTCATTTGTCCGCCGAGGAAAAATCACCCCCGGAATTCGCCGTCCATCTCGCGATTTTTGTGGCCGACCACTGCGAGCTGACCAAAGGAATGAGCTCTTCTTTTGCTTCATATCGGATGAAATCGGCGGGCTCGAACTCCCGAGGAGGTGTTAATTTCCGATGAAGTACTTTCGTATTGAGAGTGGGGAGAGGATCTCGCGAGCCGAAGAAGATACGCGACCGGAGCCGAGCCGAGGAGGGTTCAAAGTGCCTCCACTGGAGTGTCCTCTGAGACATCCGGAACTCCTCCACACCACGGTCCCGAGTGCGGCAAACCTTCACTTTTGGACGAAATCCTCTCGTTCCTCGGTCATCTTGGCTCGCGATTTCCTAACCTTAGCGTGACGGACGAAGGAATCCCCGATCGTCCCCATCGTGCGGCCACCGCCATTGCCCGAAAACCGATCCACCTTCGCCACGCAGGACGACGATACGATTTTTTTGTACGTTGCGTGTCTGTAAGAACGAGCCCTCGGGTTGCGTTTCATTAGAGACAAAATCTCGATTATTCTCGGCCACGCTTTGATCAATTCGATATTTCAATGGGCTTCAGCGTGACAGGTGAAGCCCCAGGTGAGCTTTTCTGAGGTGTTGCCCTTTTTCTTGCTACTTGGAACAATTTCCAAGCGGTGGCCATTCGTCGCGCCGCCAAGAGGCTGTAGGCCGCTTGGCCAGCTCTGTGTCCGACCAGTCGACGACGGAGCGACCTTCGGGAGCCAGAAGATTCTCAGGGTTTCAAGAAGTGTCGTTCGACCAGAATACAATGTCGGAGACATTTGCCCGATTTGCTGGACGCGATTCGCTCAAATTTATTCAATTAGATAGTGACTTTTGTTCTTATGAAACCGTTGTTTCTGCTGCTGTCTCTTCGTTCGGATGGATTGTCTGATCGGCCCTCAGTCTGACGCTGGAGAAAAGAAAGATTCTGATCCGATTCCAAGCATGAGCCATACGAATCTGATGGTGCATGAGACGGAAGAAAACACGAACGAGTCACGCCGCGTATCTAGTTCCAGTCGATCAATGATTATTCGTTGCGTCGCCGTACGTTGTCGGACCAACCACTAACTTGAATTCCGCATTTGTCGACCGCAACGAAACCAGTTGTGACGAAGTCGAGTGCCAAAGCACGCAGAAATTCGATCTCGAACGGCGGGAATCGTGGCAAGAAATAATTTACTCCAATTACCAGGTCCGAAGAGTGGTTTCCAACTGGTATTCGTTCTCGATTGATAGACTGGGACTGCTCCTACGTAATGCGAAACGCGAGCGATGCGCACCTCAGGCCATCTCGTTTTTCTACGTTTTCTGGAGGAGTGAACAATGGACTGAAGACCATGAAACTTTATTTTTATCCATTTTTCCAGGTAACCCTTTGCATTGCGATTGTTCGGCAATGTGGCTTCGCGAATGGAAACTGCAGAGCTCGAGGGTAGATCAACAGATCAATTTACCTATCTGCGCGCATCCCGTCAACTTGAGGGGAGCACATCTCGAACAGGTCGACCCCGTGCAATTGGGATGCGCTCGCCAGCGGATCGCTGTGCGGTACCGAGTTGAAGGATTCCCGAAACATCAGATACTCGCGCTCACGACGCTGGAGCACAGCATTTCCGTTACTTGGAAGGTCGAAGAGAAAAGTGAGTAGCATACCTCCTATACATCGACTCTTTTTAATCCAGGTGGCGAGTTTTCCCATTTGAAATCCTTGTACGCGCTGCGCGTCCCTTCAAAATAGACGGGGTGCATCGCTACGCTGGCGCTGGTTTGATGTCTCCTTAGAATTCGCGAAATTGAATCGTAGTCGAACCTTGATATTGTAACTTCTATTTGAATGACCTCGCCGCGTACATCACGGAAAATGTTGAGCATCGGAACTGTCCAACTTGTACAAGGAACGTCAGAGGAGAAAAAGAAAGAAACTCACGGCTTCATAAAAAGTGAAACACCAGAAATCAGTGTTCCATCAATCCATCAACGTTTTTTCCCGCATTTGTGACACTGACGTGCGCCGAAGCGATTGCGCCGAGAAATCAACTCCACAGAATTATCACTGCGCCGGCCGTCTGTAAATCAGCAACAGTATGAGTTTCCTGTGTATCTGGTGAGATCTTTTTTATTCTGATTTTTTCCACCCGTACATACATGATGGATCGTCGAGCTTCTTGTCAGAATTTTCGTGAGCTGCGTAGCTTTCGAAGAGAGTTCCCGATGTTGACCGTCCTTTCGTGTCATCACATCACATAACGTTTCGTGACATATGACGAACTCATTTCTCCTTCAAGTTTCGGTACAAGCTTTGAAGTGAGCGCAGGATCATGAAGTGATTTTTTTGTTCCGGAGTCCTCGTTCGGAAAATCTGCGACTCATGATAGAGTCTCCCGGGCGGTGCTCGGAGCGTGGACCCTTCGGACGACGACGGTGATGTCGACGTCCGAGGAGGAGACTGACTGCTGAAGTTGCTGTGATCTGCTTATCTCGATTCAAAAGATGTCCCCGCGTGACCGCGTGCTATATTGAGGAGTTGCATAGAGGTATTGCGGTGTTCCGTTGCGTGGAAACGAACTGTTGAACTCAAGTGTTGTCAACACGCGGTCATTAATGAATCTGAATCAGTCGCGCGTCCACGAAACAATGCTCGTCTAGTGACCGTCGTGGTCCTGCTGAGTGAGACCTGTTAAAGGATGAAGCAGATGAAGACAAGTCGCTGTCGACCGCTAGCCGCAGAACTCTGCGGCGCTCAAAAAGATGAGCGGCGACACCGACGCGATGCCGGAGTAAGACGAGTCGGCGCTTTTGCCCAGCGCTTCGTCGTCGTTGCCTCTGCCGGCTCCACCCGCATCACCTCCATTTTGATGTCCCTGACACGCTTTAATTGTTCCTAGCTAGCTGCTGAGGCGAGCCCCGACAGAATGTTCGTCTAGGGATTCAGAATATCTTACTGTGGTGCCGGCCTTCGCCAGGTAATCTCCTGGAAAAACATAAATCAATGAGGAACATCCAGTGGCGGCGGTGACCGACGGCGGTGGCGACTACAATGAGACAACGAAAAAAAAACACATGGCCTCAATCGAAGACAACATTTCTTCTTTGCCCAAAACAAAGTGGGGATGAGTTTTTGTCATGTCATCGTTTTGTTTCGTCCCGTAGTTCGACAGAAGCTCAGCGACGCTTGATTTTCAAGCCGTCGGGAACGGAGTGATCGCAACAAGGTCGACCGGACAAGGCTTTCAGGTTTTGGATGTGGCCGCTTAATTAGAGGAAAAATAACCTGACGACGACAAGCGTTGAAAATAGTTGAAACAATGCTGAAGACCAGGTTCTGAGCGGCGGCATGTCGTTGAACTGGGAAATACTCATTATACTGTCGGCTTGAATAATTAACATCAATCCGATATAAGCGGCTTATTTGAAGCTTTGGGAGTGACATACGACTGTCCGGCTCATATTTTTTCTCTTTCTCTAACATCGCGCGGAACGAAGGCTCCCGACGGCGGATGTCTCTGGGCGCGGACGAACTTCTCTAAGTCCGCCTGGGGCTTAGACCCTCTGACGTAATAAGAATGGCAACAGCGAACACGACTGTGGAATCGCGAATCCTTCGCTGTTTCGATGCAAGTGATAATGTCTACCGCTGGAAGGGAAAGGCACACCGACTGCAAGTACCGGAGACGCGTTTCCATACTCGCTCGGAGCAGGAGGTGTGGAAGCGACGGCATTCGGGCGGCGCCATCTGAGGTTCTGCATGATTTAATCTCAGAATTCTCGCTCCTGTCCACCCTCCATCGGGATTCTACTTCTATTTGTCTCCACGTACGATCATGCTCCGGACTTTTTAGTGAATCGTCATCTCCTCGAGAAGAGTTGAGCAGTTGAATTTACGCGGAACGACTTCCGAAATCCTCTAAGGATCGATGAAATCATCACCATTCTGCGAAATGGGAGAGCGACGGAGGCATGTCTTGTGTCTGATGGAGAACCCGCTGGTCCGCGGTTCGTCGTACCGCTCGAACTCCCTTCTCTCGTTCTGGGGGAACCGGCTTCTTCAGCGTCAGGAAATATTTTTATCGAGCATATCGAACAACGAAAGTCTGAAGTCTGACTCAATTCATTGTGCGTTGGAGGCGGCAAGGGTCGGAAAAAAATTGATATACCAGGAAGAACCCGCGGACGAGAACTCTATCTTCGTTATCGAGCAAAAGATCCTCGACGGGAGTCGGGAGCTCGAATGGAACAAGAACGATTTCCCGAGGCGGTCAAGTAGGCAAAAGACGATCTACAAGTTTTCGAGAGCTGTCTGCTGGACGAATTCATGGTTCGCCGGAACGTATTTCCCAGTGATTCGCTTCACCCCCTCCCCCACCCACGAAGATCGAGGAAGGGAAAAAGAGGAGTGATCTAGAGGAAAAAAGCATCGCATTAACCTCAAACTTCGTCCGCAGATCTCAAGTGGGCCGTCCTGTTCCGTCCGGAAACTTCAAGCCCGTACGCCATGCGAGTACATAATCGCTCAGAAGGGACTCACTCCTCAGCAGATGATGCAATTTTCACGGACATCCTACAAGGCCTCGAGGGAGATACTCCCTATGTGGTTTGTGCCGGCGTCAAAGTGTCGTCCAACCATTTCGAAATGGATCCTTTGCACTGCCAGTCGGTCAACACCAAAAGCTCCAGAGCAAGTCAGGTAACTTATTTTATTTCCGAGTTCTTTTAATAATTAAATTTATTTTTTCCCCTTCATGGCATAGGTTATTCGATGAAATTGTTCAAGAAGAATTCATTACCGCGGAGTACAAATTTGGGGACTGTTCCGTTCTTCTGAATAATTCATTACGATCTTGTGGACGCTCGGAACAGGGACGGCTGGGGAGGACCACGAGTCTTAGCTAGACGAGGTGATCGAGAACTGTAGGGGCGAGTAAGCTCAGCTCAGCGCTGTGTCCGGTAATTTTTGATGGCCGGTGGCAGCGAAGTTCCGCGCCGGCGTCGTTCGAAAGTGAACTCTGCGTCACCCGGCTCGAGCTAACAGGATTGTGTCCTTGTATCAAAAGGGATTGATGATCGGAGTTTGTCTCTTGAAGAAGCGTCCGTCGTCCCCTGAGCACCTCTTCGTGCTGCGCATCTTGAGCCCCAGCGGGCTCAATAAATTATTTGCGTGCATTGAGCAGCATGCAGAGAGAAGGAACGACGGGAGGAGAAGGGGAAAGGGGCTTTGTTTCTCGGGAAATTCGGATTACGTTTCGGAATTCGGGAGTGTCGCTGCGTGCGTGAACATTTCAGATTTTATGCTAACAGGGAAATTTGAGTTTCAGGCGTCGTCGCTGTTCATGGCTCCAACTTTGGAAAGACGACCCGTCTCGCAGAGGGCTAAGACCGAGCTGTTAGCCATGAAGGGAGCTCAACGATCCATTTGGGTGCGCTGGAGGCTGAGAATCGCGAGGTCAGACGGAGGAAAACAACGCTCCAAACGAGACGTAAGAATCCACGCGAAATTCGGGTCTCCGCTCACGCTGGGGAAATTATAAGGCGGAGTTGTACTTCGCCATGCCCCAGGACTAATACGATTATCACGTCGCGTCGATGCCGCTTGGTCGCTAATTCGAACCGCGTTCCGAAATCAATTGTTCGTGCAATAATAAAAAGTAGATCTTTCCCATCAAGATGACCGACGAAGAGGAGTTGACAGCCACTCGCGAGTGGATAGTCCTCACCCGGAGGATAGGTACGCAGAACTTCACTGAAGTTCGCGTCAGCGACACGTCGGTCCAGAGCAAGGAGAACAACGTCTACAACTACACGGTGACGAACTTGGCGCCGGATACCGCCTACGACTGTTGTCTGATGCCGATGGACACGCTCATGGAGGACACCATGGCCGATAAAAGCGTGCCTGGTAAGTGTTACCCGATCCGCAGGTCTGAGTCCACCTCTAGTCTTGAGCCTGTCTCAAGGGACCGGCTCTCGATTCTCGATGCAGACCGCAATCTAAAAGACTCAGACAGAAGGTAAAACACAAGGAATGAGTATATTGAGATTTCCGATGCTTCAGATCAGCGAAAGTCACTGACCTTTAGGCTCAGCATCATCGCGAGAGGGGTTTTGCCCCTACCTCTCGCATGGGTTTCGGCTCTGGACAAATCATCCGATCAATCGAGAGGGGGAATCGCGGATTTTTCGGCGCGTTCCCGTGCTAATATGCTCCCCGAGTCTCCCAGATACTCACTTGAACTTTTCCGGGGGATTTACGAGTCTTGCTGAGTCAGTGCCCCTCCGGCATCTCTTGTCCTGTTTCGAGGAGAAAACGCCGTGGACTGCAAGGATGAGATAAGGAATTCAAGGAGCACGGAGAAATAAAGGCACGAGCAGAATGTGGAACTCAAAGGGATAGAACGGCGGAGAATGAGCGAGTGAAACCGGGACGCAACCCTCGTGAATCGAATCCCGAGTTTTTATTTAGATCGCCCCGTCGCAGCGGACAAAAGCAGAGGCAGGTTGCAGGACGCTTGCGCAGGAAGTGATTGCGTGGTACCGCTCATTCTCGGATAGTCTGCCTATCTGATAGTGGGTCTCCCCGTATATCTGACTGCCTGGAAGGCTCGCGAAACTTTCTATTGCCTGCGCGTTCGCGCTCGAACGATGTTCGAGTCTGGAGAGCCTTCAGAACGGGGGAAAAAGCGAGCTCGATTGGTTGAAGTGAGTCGCAGAGGGAGTCGAGAGGAGAGATCCCTCACTGCAACGAGAACCGTTCGACCCTCTGCAATTTCGATAATCCGCTCACCGAACTTGGTCATTATAAGTTGCCCGGCACAAGCGGGCGGCCTTTCAGCTTACTCCAGACAGAATAATTCAACATTCAGATTCACTAGGTACTCCGCCATACGGCCGAAATCCCTCAAGTCCGAGTGACATTCTGGACGTGTCGTTGCGAGTTCTTTGCTGATCGCAACTTATCAGGAAAATTCCCTGATGGTGACGATGAATACTCTTCCACAGGAGGTATTCGAGAGATCCCATCGCATTTGCGTTCCCTCGTGGAGCACAACTCGATGATGTGCAAGGAGATCGTAACGTTGGCCGATATTCAGCATTTGTCGTCAGCGACTTCCTTCGAGAATCAAATGGTCATATTCGTCATCCTGATATCAGCTCTCTTGACAGCTGTCATCGTCGCGGCGCTCTGCTGTTGCTTCCCAGCAACGAGGTGAGTCTGAGCGCAGATGTCTCGTGCTTGGGAATCACCTGCGCGACGATATTAGTCGCTGTGCCTACCCGCGCCGGATGATCTGAGACGCAGGAGCGGTGCCCTAATCCTCGTTCATTATGCTCGAAATACTGATTTCTTATTCTCCGCAGACACTTCCTGACAAGCTGCTCCCACGGCTTGGCCCAGACGCCGCTGAAACCGGCTGTGAGCGATAAATTCGCCATAGATAATCTGCGCAAAAACAACTCCATAAATTCGACGAAGAATCTCGTGAATTTCATGGAAAGCGAAGCAAACAATCGTCATAACAATTCAGCCAATAGTTCTCAAGCGTCAGCGCCTTCGAACGTTGAGACAGTCCGGAAGATTCCCATGAAACCACCGAACATACCTCTCCCGCCGATTCCAACTGAAGCAAACAATAATCTCAGACCCCGCGCCGAGAACCAGGAGAATAAAATTGCAACCCTGGACGCAGGAAGGTGAGTTGCTCCCCGATCCTCCGTATGGCTGCGGTGGCCGCAGCCGCCGCTGCTGCCGCCCGAGTTTGTCGGAGGATTTGGAGCCTAATGAGCAGATCCTAACGAGCAATGAAAAAACTCGCCCAGTCTTTTGGCGAAGGAATACTCGACCGAGAGTCCCAACAGGCGATGGAGATGATGGGCGCCAAAAAGGAGCACGGCCCCGGAAGCCGCGTATCTATCGGTGTACGCTAGACGACTCGCGAAGTGGTCAAATCCAGCGAATGCAGATAAATAGAGATTCGTTCGTCCACGGTTTGAAATGAAAGTGTTCTGTATCTCCCCGCTCCGGAAACAACCTGCCGTTGGAACGTGGACGCGTAGATTCGGGAAAAACTGCATCGAGACTCTGGATGTTTCCCTCAATACACTGCGATAGCTCGTGGGTTCCTGACGTGTACCGGTCTGCTCCCGTCGTATATTTAGTGCGCCTCAGCTCCCTGCGATTGCGGAAACGATCTCGATGGATCCGAAATGTTCCGAAAGTTCCTCGAAGCTCGCTTCCAGAACGTAATTGAGAACTCACTTTCGTTGCAGACTGAATCTGATGTACTCGGAATGGGAGGATATGCCCAATGTCATCACGAGACCCCGACGTGCCCGATCCGAAGTCCGCGCTCCGACGGCCCGTCCTTTTACAAGTTTGGGAAATATTTGCGTTGCTTCGAAAGAGGATCCTTTCAAAACCCTTCGTTCGCTCCCGCGACCGTTCATGGGCAGTGACGGCGGGAGCTACAACGACACGACGTCGAGTGACGACGACAGAAAAGTGCTCAACGCTCCGCGAAAGGTTTGTTCCGAGAAAAGAAGAAGGAGCTCCCCCCGGAGCTCCAGAGGTCGGACGCACCTCCGACGAGTGTCGAGACGATGCCCTCAAAAAACGACGCCCGTTTCTAAATATAGATCGGAAGCCGGGACCAACATTCCAACATTGCAGATTCAGAGAACGAAGACAACTATCAACTGGACGAACCACGGCGACTTCGACTCTCAAGTGGCTTACCTAGACGGACGCAAAGTACAAGTTTTTGGACTCGGTTCCAAGACTCTACCCAAATCTATTCTGAGAAAAGGAGGACGACCTTTAACGGCGGCTTCTTCACCGACGTTGTCACGAGTTGCCGGAAGGAACGCTTCCAGGGCTCAGAGCCATCATTCCAGGTACGAGTCCAATCGCCAAACACAAACAGCTCGTTAGATTCGAAGTCGAGTTTTTTTTAAATTCCTGAGAGAAGGGTCGACGACAACGACGCCGGCAATAGCGGCGGCGCGACTCCGGGTGAGGTGACGACGATCCAGGACGAGGCGAAGGGGGAGGAGGAGGAGGACGTCGTCGTCACGGCAATGGGAGAAGACGTCATGCGTCGAGCGAGCCCTTTAATTGTTTCTGAGTTTTCCACCTCCCCTCCAAAAGTGAGTGGAGAGGCGGAGAGGAGCGACAAAGGTCCCGAACTTCCGGGACGTCAATAGATAGAATGCCGAACCGTCTGAGAGAATTTGGGTCCATATTTCGTTGGACCTTTCCAGGAGAAGACCAAATCTGGAGCCTAATCTCGTTATTCTAACGCGTTAGTGCGGCCGGTGCCACTGCTCCCTCGGAGGTCCCGGAGCCCGGGGGTGCCTCCCTCATTCCCGCGTTGACGCATTCGTCGAATGATAACTTTTCCTCTGTTGCATCGCTCGTCGTAACAGGACTCATAATTGAATTCCGCTCTAATTGTCGCTCTTTCCACAGGTCCTTCAAGAAGCCTGCGCGTTCCCCACCTGTGATTCGCAGGCCCTCGCAGAGCCAGCAGAGCAGCGCCTACCGGCTGAGCTTCTGCACGTTCGGCAAGGACGGGCTAGGGCACGAAAGCCCGTGCACCGAATCGGTTGCGTCGAACAGCGACAACTGCTCATCGACGAAACAACTCTGCACGCATTCGTCTACGTCATCGGATTGCGACGTGTTCATCGAGCACGTCTGAATCCTCCGCGAGGCTAGCGTCACCATTTGCTGCCGAATGCCATTTCGTCCAACTATTTATGTTAGGTCCAAAGTCATGTATGTGAATAGGGAGCGATGCATGGGTGATTGAAGAGAGAGAGAACGAATGAATGAATGAATGGAAGGATGCATGGATTGATGGATGAAAAAGTGCATGAAAGGCTGAACGAAGGAATGAGAACTCATAGAAGGAACCGAATCGACCCTAGATCGACCCGAGCTCCGTATGGACGACAGACCGAGAGTTGGGAAAATACCAGGTCGATGAATTCTCGTGAATTACGCCTATCCTCTCTCGTTAGAGCGTAAGCGACTCGATTTTTGCCCCTTATCCATCCAGCCGCTCAGGAACGACTCCACCTGCCGACGTGGAGAAGAAGTCGACTGCATTTCGAAGAGCTAATCTCCCCGACGGTGATGCAGCCGCCGGGCTCCAATCGATGCCATCAAAGTGCTCGTCACGTGATCCTCCACGGACACAAGTGTACATATATGCTATCTACAATCTCTCCTAGTTTATGGTCCCTGGAACAGCAGGGCTAAGCTGTTTCTTTTTTTGTATCATAATCTTCCATGAGGGATGTTCCTACTGCGTCGAATGTAAATAAAACCTAATATTGTTCATCGATCCGACATGCGGAAAGAATTTTTATCCAGCCGCGAACACCAATTTCTCGCTCGTTTGCAAGCTCGCTCCTGGAACTGGATCCGAGCCCGTCCAGGCAGGGAGGCCCGGAAAAGTTAAGGGATGGATGGATTTGCCGAGAGGGAGGGACACGGGAACGGGTGGACGTACGGATGTATGGATAGACAGGATGACGTAAGCGTGGAGAGAGTCGCTCGTGGGAGAGAGTTCGCGTCGTTCCCGCGCGCCGTCCGCCTCGACGACCGCGCGGGTCGTGTTCGGACCCTTTCCGAGGTAATTGCCGTTTCGACGAGGAGTTTCCTCGGAACGGATTAACCACTGCACCATACACAAAGGCCGGTGGGCCGCTTGCTCAGCCGGACAGCGCTGAATCCGTAGCGGAAGATTAACAGTCAGCGGACTTTGTCGTTGATCGCGCAACTTCTCAATCAACTCCTTTTGATCCCGGTTTCACTCGGGATTCCGGTCTCACTCGGAGTCTCCTCCTGCCGCACTCAACGACTGAGGCGAATAATCAGAATCGGAGAAGAAGTCCCCGGCAACTGCGTAGTGTGGCATAAACAACTTCTCGCTCCGATAGCAGACGCAGTCGAGGGGTTTTTGGGTAACAAGGCTCGGCGTGACGTCAAAGCGTTATTCCGAACAGATAGAAACGACAGGAAAGGACTCACTCACACACGCACGCGCACAGTAGTAAAAAACAACTGTGACACAGATCGAGAGTCGAGCCACCCGTTGCTCAGGCGAGCTCTGACCGGAGCCCGAACGGAATCCTTGGAAGGATCCTGCGCGGGATCCTGAACGGGATCCTGGATGGAATCTTGGCCGGAATACTGAGCAGAATCCTGGAGGGAATCCCGGTCGCGAGCTGCCCCGTTGAGAGCAGCCAGCCAGGGGAAAGCCAACTTTTCCACCTTTCATGGGCTGAATCGAGAGGGAAAAAACGCTCGTCGCACACCTGGGACGGTGGTCGGCAATAGACATCGGGGCTATTGGCTCCGTAACTTCCGAGTCGTTCCGAGCTCGAGGCTCGAGGAATGGATTGCAACCTGCCTCTGTTTGATAGCTGGTCGTTCGGTGCGAGGCCGCGTTCCCCAATTTGAATTCTAATCATAGAGCTCATCATCGAGCTCAACCTTGTACCATGCATGACCACGTCTAGCCGAGTCTTGAGTAGTTTCCTGGAACCGAGCCATAATCACAGAAGCAGAGATTCTCAAAGGGTCCGTCATTCGTCCTAGACAGCCAGTTCGTGTGCTCAATCATTTGGAAGCGTTTGCCTGCTCCTCCGAAACAAGAAACCACTCGATGATAATTGACCTTGACTTTCTGGAATTCCATCTACCGCGGTTCCATCAGGTTGATGACGCCAAGTCAGCTCAAGACTCCAAAGAATCAGGGTCGAAGTCAAACGGTGGGAATCCCTCCATCTACCTTCGTCAATACCCCACCAAGCGCCTCGTGGATATCCCTTTTTCGGTATTATTTTCGGTTTGCGAGACGCCTCGGAATGATGAGTGAAAGTTAACCGACTTATTCATCGGCCGCACATGGAGAGGTCCAGAAGGAGGGGAGTACGTCAGAGACGGCGAAAATAAAACATCGAGGAGCCCAGGAGCGGAGACTTCGCGCTGACCTGACTCCTTCCGAGAGTGGAGTATTAGGACGACGGGAAGGGATTTGGGAGCGGGAAGTTTCTCGGTCCACGGGTTATCGCTCCGGATTGTCAGATAGCACTGCCTTCACTGCTTCGCCCAATTTGGGAGTTGGGACCCTGCACGGATCCTTAGCGACGGCGCGGCGTCGCTCTCGAAATTCCTCCTCGTCCTCCTCCGAGCTTCCCCGAGGTGCTCGAAATGGGGTTTCTCTTTTTTCGGCACCAAGATGACGTATAGGAGTACGTACTCAACTCATCCGCTGTTTCTGGGCTGCAGGAGACGCCCGCAGCGGCCCAAATAATCCGGACGTTGAAGGTTAAGCGATTTTATGTCGGGCCGAAGGAAACAGGAACACACAAGGGGAGGAACGCAGATTGCTCTCTCGGAAGAAATCGAATTGAACAGAGGCGAATCCTGTTAACCACTCTCAGAAGGAAAACTTTGACGTCAGGGAGCCGTCCGCTTCGAGTGGACCTTCACTGAGATTAAGTCAAAAGGTTTTTTGTCCTCCGGGAATTTGTTCCTCCGAAAACGAGGCACCGATGACGAAAACGGCGGCGGCGGCTGTTCAGAGACCGTCAGAAAAAGACCCAGATGGCAGCGATTGAGAGATGGCGCGGGAATCTCGGTACGGTCGGAAGACTCTTTTGAAATAGCTTACATTCATCCTTCCGATTTTAGTTCCGGGTGACGTAGCTCTGTCGGACAACATAAAATTCGCGGCGTCATGGGTTAGAGCCGGCCGCACGTATTGAGAAGAGTCCTTGTGTCTCCCGGGCATATCGGATCGGTGCTGATGTGACCTAGCGAGCAGGGACGCGATGATGAATAATAATCATAGGGATTGAATATTCACACTCCGCGGCGAACAGTTCAGTTCCAATAAGAGTACGTCTCGGCCTTGACTTGCTGTATGTGTCCAGAGCAGACTTCTGTCCGAGCACAACCGACCGAGGCGTTAGAGGCAGTCTCGCAGCCGCCATGAATGCACCTCCAGACACCTCTCGCAGGGTAGGTTAAGGTCGAGGAAACTTCCACCTCGATGTCGCAGAATAACTGCACGCCGTTTCACTCCGCACGCTCAGTCTCCTTGTGCGTCGGAAGCCAAGGCACTTCCGAAAAATTGTCGGTTCCAATCCTCGAGCATAGGACTTGAAGAGACGCGCAATAACTTTCAATACTGTGCCCCCTCCGAAAAAAACCCTCCACTCTCGTCGTTCCCTCCCCTGGCGCACCTCTGTCGGATTTCCACCCAGCGAGGTCGCCTTCTCGTTAGAAATGAGCTCCGTCTTTCTTCATAGCTCCCGTAGTGTCCTCTGAACGCCGTGAGATCGCTTAGCGGGCAATCGTTCCTCGTCGGAACCAGACAAGACCCTTTCTGCAGGCTGAGCTTACGAGCACTCTCAGTTGGAAATCGCTCTTGTCGCACTCGCACCCCGCAGCGAACCAGTATGCAGCCTCACTCAGCCGCCGCCCGTGAGGTGTTGTTTACAAAGGAGGGGCTCGCGAACTTTCCTTAACCGGCCGAGTTTGTCGGGGCCTTTGAGATATAGCCTTCATATTCCGCTAACTGAGACTTTCTTTTCTTTTTTCTTAGTATTCCCAGAGGATCTCGACCGTTCTACGTCTCTGCCAGATCAAAGTCATCCGTGAGCAGCTCGAGTCTCACCTTACTAAGCAGAATCTCAAGCTAGAGATCGACCAGGTTGGCCTGAACATGCTAATACCATGAAATGCATGCACCCGTAAAGATCGTTCCTCGGGGAGAGCATTCCCTCGCACGAAGTCGTTCCTCCGTATGAATATTCTAGAGCTCGACAAACTCAATTGTCATGCTCTTCGGACAGCGTTCAGTCCGGTAAACAGAACACTGGCCCTCAAAGACACACACTTCTCTCGGTTCAGTACACGGATGCAAACAAGCTTATGGACGCAGTAGACGCCTCGGCCGCGCATTTGCTCTTAGTGCGTCCGGGACGCTCGCTGGCTTGTTGGCTATGTATTAGACTCCTGAAATCTAGACGAAGGTCGTCCTCTGTCCTGACACTTTCTCCCTTCAGTTTCCACTCTATACCTCCCGCGATTCCCCGGAAACTGCCAGACCATCAAGCGAGCAGCAGAGCTCACTTAGGGAGCTCCGAAGGCGGTCTGCGTGCGCATACCTCCGAGCCTTGCTTGTCGTGCATGGGAGGACGAAATCCAGTTCTTCTTAGTTTCCTGCCATGGAATTGCCAAGAGAGCAGATCCACCTCATGCATATGAGGCGAGCGTTTTCTACTCAAGGGAGGTATGACATCCTTCCGCTTCTCAGTCGGGGGGAGCTGCGTTCAGGATTGTCGGTCTGCTGAGCCCAGCGGTACCCCGCTAGAGAGCACGTGTTGTGTTTGCTCCTGGCGGGGAATCAGAGGTGCTCACTAAGAGCCCGCGGCGTAGAAAACCACTCGTGGACCGAGCGCCCGAGTGGGATAGAGCGGTGGATAGCCAGACACTCCATTCGATCACCGCGATGATCTCGATTATCCCATCGAAGTGTTCTTCGAACTCGGTGCGGATCTCCGTGTACCCGTTCGCGAATGGTTCCCGGTGGTAAGCCCCGTCCGCGGACAACATGAGGGCTCGCTATCGATCATTGGCACGCTGTTCTACGTGACCGAATTCATTCAGAGACTCCAGACACCGATTCGGAACGGTCGCAGCTCCTCACCGCAGGAACCCGGGCGAGGAAATGCGTCGGACGATCTCAGCTGAGTTGGAGCGAATAATGAGGCGTTAGCGAGAGATGGAGTTCTCATAAGATCTCCGCGACGGGTCAGGGGCATTCCTCCCCTGCAAATCCCCTCGTCCATCGGCGGGGAGCGCTTTTGGAACTATCGATGGATGGGAGGGAGGTCATCATCATTCGTCATCTAGATGTGGCGATCGATGGCGAGCGGAGCGTCGGTGGGTTGGACGCATTCGGAAGACTCTCCGCTCCGAACGGCTCCGTAAAAGCGTCTACACTGACGTCTCCACTCCTTGACCCCACCAGGAGTGCGAGCAGTTTGGGAGCCCGCTCCTGGTTCCAAAGGCGAAGCACTGGGGGAAAGGCCGTTGTGCGAAGAATGCTACCACGCCATTGTTGCGACCGTCTAGCGCCGGATCGGTCGGACGACGTGCCGCAACGGAACGAGCGAGCTGCCTTCAACTGTTTGCCGAGTGAAATACGAATCTAGGCTCGTTGTTTGACTACGGCGGAACAAACATTCTGTCGACATTGTTTATTGAATCCACCAGCGTTGCTTACGACCTCTCCTGCTCGACTCCCCCCATCCGCACTCGCTCACTAGCATGTCTACCGGCCCTGCCAGCGGAACTTTCAGCTCTAGACTTCCGTACACAGTCCGCAAAGTTCACGGCACTGTTCCTCGCAGCTCCGCGAGACCTACAATGAATCCGTCGAGCAGCTCCATTTGGCTGAGAAACTCATCGAGGAGCTCTCCACTGAAAAAATCAGACTCATGTCTGAGAGACGGAGTCTCTCCAAGAGATGTCAAGAGGTGAGTATTCGATGGAAAGTTCCGCTGCGCATTATGAACGAGAGAGGCCTGGAACGTCTAGCATAGGGAGGAATCCGCCTTCACGTCACTGACTCGGAATTTCTGTTTAATCCGCTTCGGATCGAATATTGTTTCTCTCTCGTGCCCGTGCGGGCGTCGCAGCGGAGCGTCGAATACCGATATAAATCGACATCGATCTTCGATTTCGATCTTTTGGACAATTCCGATGGACGAACGAGATGGAATCAACGAGGGCGAGTTCAGGACCCTTGAAAATTGCGAAGCACCTTAAAACCCGCGTTACGAAGGAAGAATGGAAAAATAGGAAAAAATACGGCTCTCGAAAGCCTTCCTGCAGCGAATGCGCCATTGGGACTTCTCGAACGACTGACGTCCTTTTCGGGCTCGACCGAGCGAACGACACAGCGGCTCGCTTCTCGGAAAGTCTGAGAGGAGGGAAATGGAATTTCCTCGACACAGAATAAAGTTTGCGTATGCTCGAAGCTCAGGTAGCTACATGGATTGGATCTGTAAACGGCTGCATCGAGTTTCCGTCTCAATACTGACGAGCTCCGATGAAGAGTGATTTCTGGGGAGTTACCTGATTGATTCTCCTCCGTGCAGACGCGCGGCGTTCCGCAAATACAACCTGCGTTCGGCAGAGGAGCACGTGCCGGCTTTCTCGACGAGAGGAGCGTTCTGCTTTGTGCATTCATTCGAGACAAACTTCATGAGAGAAAAATACGCTTCATTAATCCTCCAAACATCTATTGATTGCCTTCGTTAGGAATCTCGGAAGTTAGGGATCGTCGATTGAAGATATGTGATCGACCTTGTTCCCTCTGATTTAAGGTGGGCAAGGCTCTAAAAGATGCACGTCATCAAGCCGATTGGTTCACGGCACAGAGGAAATCGATTCAGGAGAAACTCCGGGTACGGTCACTCGCATCCCAGAGAAGGGCTACCAGAATGAGCTCCCAGAGAAGTCAATTATTCATGATTGAAAAATCGGCGTCTGACGAAGGAGGAAATCGTTCATCAGCGTAGATTTTAACGCTTAATTTTAATTTTCACGATTAATACTTGGGTAGGAGGTTGCGGCCGACGCCACGCGAGAGCGGATCCGAAACGAAAGGACAAAAGAACAACTGCAGGAAGAACAGCGTAAACAGTTGGAGCTTGAAAACTTCTTGAAAGCGGGCCCGCACTCCTTCCGGGGACTGGTTCCCGACGCCGCGTTCGGAGAAATCCAGATAGGGTAGGTGACGTAGACAGACTGCAAACAAAGCCTCTTTTCTTTCGAAAACTCACGGGAACAGAGGTCTTCATCGAGGATGAAATTATTCATCTCATGAGACCTTCTGCCACCGATCCGCATCGACATCTGCAGTCGCTCCCAGCAGGTGCCGGGTCGTAATGCTCGATAGGGGAAGCATTTGACAAATTCCCCTATGACAGCGTCCCACGACAAATGCGCTCCTACACGAATCGAGAATTTATGTCCGGAGAAGGAGAGATGCTACATGGAATTTCTCCCTCGAGGCACTGTGAGAGACGGGATGGCAGGCCTCGGCCTTCTCATGTGTCTCTGAAACCCGGTCGTCGACGACGTTCGCACTCGTTGGACGAACTATCTGGATCTCGAGTCTCCGATTTTTCTCACGTGAGGCGAGAAAAGAACTTTGATTCGCTCCGTACTCTACGTGACATGGACGTCGAGACCGCGCATGCAAACCCCCTTTCATCCTTTGAGGGAGCCGATTTTCGAGGGAATTTCATTTTAGAGCTCCTTGAGCTTTGCTCGCTAGCTTGCTCGTCTGAGCGGAGATTGCAGCGTGGAATTCGACGAACGCGTCATCGACTGAAGTCGACGATGTCTCTCCTCGCTCTACATAGTACTAGGAAGGTGGAAGTGGAAACGTGCGGAGAGTCCCCAGCCCTTTGGAATATCTTTTGCAGCCCCGCGGAAATCGCCGCCGACGACTACGACGACGAACAGCAGCCGAAGGAGGCGTGGAATCAGGTTCTCCTACTCATAGCCGCGCGGCAAAGGTCCTTGGATACCAACGTTCAATTGTGCGTAGAAAATAAACTTGAGTGACTGACTGAGACAGCCGGAGAGTTGAGAGGCAGAGTTTTTCCATTCTCCGACAATTTGAGTATCCCGTTTTTCGGAACTATCGGAACAAATAATCGCGACATCGATCGATGTTTGTTCTCCGAAGGTCGATTTTCCGCTCGATCGACTCATAAGATGAACCCCCCTTGTGATTTCGTGTGCCTTCGATCTGGATCGAGCTGGTTCAAGTACCCTTGCGTGACACGTCTGTAGCGTCGCTTTTCCCCCCTTGCAGATACGAGCGTCTCCAGAGTATTCTCGGTGAATGTCGCAGCATCAAGTTGCAAGTTGACGAGCTTGAATCCGAGAGGAATAAACGTCAGAGCGTCCTGGTGAAGAAGAAACTCTTTCTCGAGGTCTGTACCGTGTACCTCTATCCGCGGAAGCGCATTACGGTCAATCGGTGTCACTCCTCGCGTAATCGCTTCCCATGTCCGGTTCGGTAATTTCCCTCGTGCGAACTCATCCTCGACTCTCTGAATTTCCGGTAGAACCGACTGAATTCCGCTGCGCGACGATTGTAGGACTCCGGGATCGCCACCTGAATGACTTGCAGAGATTTGCAATGATTTCCAAGGGTACGTTTTTGTTCCGTGTGCATCGATCCGCATTCTCCACGAGTTTGGGGTTTGCGTGCAGACATTCGGCGTAAAGGCGAACAGCGACAAACCCCTGGGCGTATCGGGTGTTTCGTGTTCCTGGCTGCCGGGCTAGCTGGTTTTCCGATCAACCTGGGTGGGAGAGGGCTCCGAGGAAAGAAGACGGAATAGAGGGAAAGGTCTTCCAGCACATGGCGCTACTAAACATTTGTCTCCTAGACGGGGAAGAGATCGCTTCACTTTTTCACAAGTTTGTATCGCTGGGGGAAGCGAGCGAAAATTTGCAACGATTTATTACCAGCAATAAGTGAAAATTGACTGTTTTCCCTTTGAGGAACTCAGCTTCCACCCTGTGCCACACAGCCGCCGTCAACGGGTGAGTGAAGAGCCTCCAAGTATTGATGACAGGATGCGGCCGTAGCTCGCATCATCATCATCATCCTCAGCGGCATCGCAGTTATGGAGAGTCCGATCGATGATTGCAACGGTAACTCATTGCACTTTGTACCGATTTGTAGCCGCTTTCTCGAATATCGCTCCCACTATGAGCACCTCGCGATAGATTCTCATGCTCCGACACCGCGTAGAAACCTAGGAGAGACGCAGTAGCAACGCGTAGACGGCGCGGGGTTACGAACGAGCTCGGAAAAAGCTCGCAGCTTGCTTAGAAAATCTGCGCAGAAGTTCCCCGCTGTTAGCCAGATGATTTCTTTGCCCGAATCCGGGCGACTGCTTTTGGGAACTTGCTTTTCCTCCCTGGTGGGGCTTGCTCTAGACGCTGCTTCCAGATATTAACAGATCGAAATGAGTCATTGAATGATCAGGAACGATGCTTTTTTCGTCTTCCAGAACTTCTCCAACTCAGTTCCGAAGGCTGCCTCGGCCCGGATCGCTGCTCTCCTGCCAGCACCAACACCGAAAGCATGGAAGAACAGCGAATTTTCCTGGAGTTTTGTCAACCGTCTCCTGAGCACGGGTCGAGGCAAAGCGTTAGGTTGTTGGAGCAACCGGCTCGTCCGGGACGGTCCCTGCAGAGCAGTCCAACGCACAGAAGCCCAATCAAGGATCGGCGGCGATCGTTGGCGCTCCCCACCAAGCCGAAAGAGGACCGACGACGTTCTCTCGGAACACCACGGAGTCGTCGACGTTCGGCAGTCGCGGCTGCGAGCCGCAGATCATCGGCAATGCCCGGATCGCGCAGCCCGACCGGCCGCCGGAGATCATCTGCCCTGACCGCACCCCGCAGTCCGAGTGGGCGACGGCGATCGTCGACGATGCCGGGCTCGCGGAGCCCCAGCGGACGTCGATTCCGACGCGACGAGGATTGTGTTTTGGACTCGTGGGCAGACTACCATCAACAAGTGTCACCTCCGGGCGAAGAAAGCGAACGGCAACGGCTTTACAGTACCGGTGGATATCGTTGTCGTTCGTTTTCCACATCTGGGAACAGCGCTATTTTTTGTTACCAGGGTCGTGTTGTGATGCCCGGCGATGAAAGCCGACCTACCTGTTGTCTCCGTAGAGTTCCCACACACCGTGTTCGTGTCATAGGAGCCGACGGAGTGGGAAAATCGTGCCTTATTCATCAGCTAATAGAGAGTGAGGATCTCTGCTCATACCAAAATATCGGTAGGTCTTAGCGGCGGCGTAGCGTACCTCCATGATGCCCGGGGCGGAACCCTCAAACCCCGGAGCCGAAAGCTCCCTTCAATGCCCCCTCGTTCTTTTTCCGAAAACTTCCCGAATATATCCCGAATTTTACGCTCTGCATACCGACGGGAGTCAAGATGGGACTTCATTCACCGGGGGGGAACTCCGGGGTCTTTGTGGCACTCTCCCCGGGCATTCTGATGCCCCCTGACCCTTGATGCCCGGGGCAGACCGTCGAGCCCCCCCCTCGCTACGCCACTCGGATCTTAGCAGAGATTGACGTTCGCCTACCCGTCGTTAAACGCCGGTGGATTCCTCGCTCCGGAATCGTGAATGTTGGGAAAGAGCGCGGGTGCTTCGTGGTTTCGAAGTGCGTGATCGGAATCGAGACGGCGCAGATTAGCTTGCAGCTGCTCAGGCTAGTGCAGACGGATTACAAGGCTGAAACGAACAGAGCTAAGCGGATCGAATATAAACGCAGGTGGATTTAAGAGTGCAGGCGGCGACTCCGGATAATTGGGGATAATAGTGCAGGTGCCGCATGGAGCGTGTCAAGCAAAACATCCGTACGGGACGCAACGCAAGTAGAATCATCATTGCATGATCGCCTGGAACGGAGAGGGAGCTTCGCGATCCGTATCGAACAGCGAAGCGGTGGCAGCTACGATTTCGCTCCCACGAAATCCATGAATGATCGTATCGTTACATGGGCGCCTCGTTGAGGAGGCATTTATTCGTGAGCACCCGAGCGTTCGTCGCCATCGGGAATTTTTGAAGCTGCCATGAGTTTTTGTCGAGTGTTTGATCAAGCCCAGCGGAGGACGCGCGAGAGACATGCTGATATTTGAGTTCACGTTCGACAAGGGTCCCGTGCCTCTCAGGGGCGAGGAAACAATTCGTTTTCCGCCAGCCAGCCAGCGGCCCACTCACTTCCTCCGCTCTGATGTTCCCCGAAAGTTTCAATTGCATCGAGCGCTCTCACAATAGCGCTCGATTTCTCCGTGCCTGACTTTCTCCCGCAGCATCCCCGAGCTCCTTCTATTCATAGTTAGAGCTTCCAGTGTTGCTACAAGTTCTCCTGGTTTTCTTTGCTTTTCCAAGCACACAGAAACGCCCAAGGACCGAGTCGTTTAAGGACATCTTGCTCTAGACTGGTCCGGACAGCAAACGAGGAAAAATGCACGCGCAGTAAAAACGCCACTGACGTCTTGCTGCCTTGGCTTTAGCTCCGCGGGCCGGACGATAAGACTGTGTCTCTCCTCACAGATGTTGGATTTACAGCTGTTTGCTTGCAGCTTGAGCCATCGATTCGGCTTAAGGTGGCGGTCGCTGGGAGCATTCCAAGCGGGGAGCGGCAGCGACAGCCACGATGAAAACATAACGAGAACGAATGACTAGGGCTCTGCATCGGTCGACTTTGACGTTAGTCCGAGTGAAACTCGGCTGATGGGGCGACGCAGAGCGTGACTCTCGATATCGGCATCAGCGGTCGAAAACATCAGTGCGTCATCAGAATCCTTGCGAAGCTTCTGAATGCGAGCCTTTATAAGCTCGTCACAGAAACAGGACCGACAAGCCCGTCTGTTTCCCCGGGTCTGCCTTGTCTACCGATAGACCTTGATTACCTCAGCGCTGAAGCCTGCCGATGCGTATTCTCAAAAGTCTAGACGGATTTGGTTTCCTCAATCCCTCTCTGTAGTGACGAACTGAAAGCTCTCGCAAATTTCTGAGCTCGAGGATTTTTTCCGCTTGCGGGACGTATTCTTGAGCCAGGCTCCTTTATCGTTATTTCATGTTGGATAGAAGCGAAGCGTGGAACATTTTCCCCGCGCGACACTAGCGACGCGAAACCCTTAAAATTTGCCCGAAATTGCTTCCGAGTGACTCCACATGCCGTAGCACTTCACGAAAACTGCTTCCGAGCGACTCCACGTGCCGTAGCACTCCGCGCAAACTGCGTCTTGCGTAGCTCTCGACAAGCATATAGACTTGGAGTAGTACCGCGTACCGCGCAACACCGCACCTAGATCCTTAAGTTCTGGGTAATGCGAAATCGAAATAGCCTCCCGATGGGTTGCAGTCATAGACAGGCCCCCAAATGCCGCGTAAAATCGGGAAAACTCGGTCGGCCCGAACTCATTAATAATCCGGAGCGTAGATAGAATTCGAATAACGGATTGACGCGTTTCAGTAACTACCCCCGACTCATCGAGCGACACCCTGCCTGAACTGCCAAAAACGCGACTCATCTTAGACGATGAAGAGAGTGAATTGGTTTTCGAAGAGACTCACAAATCCGAGGTAGGTGCCGGGACCCGGAATCCTTGCTGTGCCCCGTTGGAGCTAGGACCCGATGTCGACGACCAGAGTCCGGAGGAGAGTCACGATAATGTCACAAAGCGAGATCATCTGCTCTAGTTCTCGAGGAGAGCTTGCTGCCGAATTCCGTCATCAGCTCCCAATTTGAGCGGGGAACAGACGTCAGTGCCTTTTGAAGGTCAACCCCAATGACCGGCTCCTGGCAAAGCCTTACGCCCTTCTGGGCGAGGCTGAGATCTCATGGATTGATTAGATGGGATCGGATGAGTGTGCAGGACCCTCTGATCTCGCTGCGACTCTGACTTCGAGACCAGAACATCGATAGTATCTTTGTTTGGGGATTCGCGAGAGCGTCCGAGAAACACGCGTCACATCAAAATACGACGAACCGTCGACGTCCTAGACGTAGACAACTTCGATTTCATATCTGAAGAAAAAGAGGGAGTTGTACTTACGAAAACGCAGAGGGGAATCCGCGATCAAACCGGCGACACTCGCGCGTATAAATCGAGGAGCAGATAATTGCCAAACTCACCGATTGAGTGGCCGGTCCTGCAAATCGTTCATTCCTCCGCCGCTGAATGGGTTCGCGGTCCAGTGGAACCCAAGGATTTGATAGGCTCTCGTCGGAAATCCCTCCGAAAGTCAGCTATCGTGACCAGTCGGGATGGTCAAAAACGATCTCCCGCGATGGCAGGAACGTCGGAGCTGGGTTGCGTGGTTCAGTCAAGGAAAATTACCGGGTAGCGTCGGTGGAAGGCTACTCCTGGGACGAAGTCTGAACCTCCATGGAGGTCTTCCCTCTCTGACGCATTTTTTCCACAGGTGACTGCACAGGATCTGATCGAAACCGATGCGTTTCTCATCGTCTATTCCATGGCCGATGGGGAAAGCTACGAATTCGCTGAATCTATTCTCGGACGCTTGCTTCTTCTCTGCACGATCTTGAGGAATCAGAGGAAATCTTCCTGTGCTTCCACAACGCGCAGAAGCGATCAGGATCTTTTACGAAAAGCGATCATCGTTGTAGCAAATAAGGATGACTTGAACCGCTGCAAGGTTATCACAATCAAAGGTGAGATTTCCTCCACGAGGCTCCCGAAGGAGAGTCTCCCCTTGTCTCTTTGTATATTTTTCGTTCCCTCTCTTTGTTCAATCTCTTTTTCTACTCCGCCTGTGAGCGCGCAGCGTTTTTGAGAGGGGCTGTTTCTGATCCCAGATGGACGCACACTCGCTGAGCAACACAAATCGAAATACGCAACAATATCAGCGTTCATCGGGCACAAAACGAATCATCTTCTCGTTGGCACCCTGAGACAGATCCGTCTGATCGAAAAAGTGGAAACGGTGCAAACAGCTAAGAAACGTCTCTCGAATCTCCCGATCATTCAGCTCCCCGAGGGAGACATCTTGGACCCAAACGATCAAAGTATTTCATCTAATCACTGGATGTGCGGCGACCTCTTCGACATGACGAAGGACTTTTTGTATTCGGTGTGGAACAAATGTTTCGTCAAAAACCCGAGACAGTGCGAGAACCTGAATGTTCTCTGAGATTGTGGGGCATATGCGCGCGGATGTACTAGGACGAGGCGCGGATGTACTGGGACGAGGCGCGGATGTGCTACGACGAGGCGCGTCTGTGTTCTTATCTCACGACACTTGGACTTTGCTCCAGATACGTATTTCTGCTGCACCGTGGTTTCTACTCGAAGCGAGGTAAGGTACAAATGTACTCGAGGGATCAGTATTCGTACGAATAGCTCGGATACCGCGATTTACGACGAGTCGAGCAATGTGAATATGAACTGTATCTACGAATCTCGGTCCAACTGCTAAATGTACAAACTGCATCGCTAGTGAGAGATGTTCTCGCTCTGGAAGCTCTCAGTTACAAAACTTTCGTGAGAGACTCGCAAGACGATTAGAAGACCTTGAACGCCTGGCTGATCACTCTTAGCTACGACCAACGAGGATCACAATTAAGAAGAGTCAACCAGAACATCGAAATAAATCCAATGTTTGCTGACTGCGGAGCCCGTCAAGTTTCCTGAATATTCTCGCGACCGGAGGAACGGCCTGGGACCGCGGCTTGAGGTTAGAACCATGTCGCTCGTGGACTCGAGAAGCTCACGACGACGCCGCGCCGCAGCTCGGCGCCACTAGAGAAGAGGCTGGAGCCTCCTTCGAGATGTCGCGTGTCATTCCTCTGACTATAATCATTCTGTGAGCTTTCGGAACTGCATGAAAGCCCGAAATTCCACAAGCTTCAGGCTTGGAGGTCTATCACAGCGAATGAAGGGATTATAATCGAGCTCGGAGCTGTGTGTCCGCTGAACCAAATTATTTCACTCCGCGCGATGGGGACCGCGGACATCGCCGGTCAGTACCCACAGACTCGAGGCTGCCCGACAGATCTCTATTATTCAAGCTCGAAATTCGAAATATGGCTCCGGTGACTCGATAGTCTCGTGAAGTCTGCGTGCAAACACTATGATCGCTGATTGACATAAAGCGCAATGAGGTCAATCATGTGCATAATAGAGGACCGCGCTCGAAGCGGAGGCAGACTCTGATGGGCTGTGACGATTTTCCGATGACCGGGAACCACAGACAAAGCCGAGAATAACCTCAGGTGACCCTCCCTCAATTACCGGAACTTAATAATGGAACTACCAAGGGGAGCTTCTATGTTCCTCCTAGGATCGACATGGAGCTTAGATTTCGGGATGATTCGAGGTCAGACCTTCCGAACACATGTCGTCCTGTCGCTTCCGAGACAAAACGCTCCGAACGTGAGAAATCCTGCATTAGGCATCGAGACCCGGGAGCCAGTGCCTCTCCGGAACCGGCGTTTTATGCGTTCTCGCTTTCCCTCTTTTTCGAAGAATCCATCGAAGGTTCCACTCCGCTCTCTCCCTGTTCTCGGAACGGAACAGAGCTCCCTGTGTCCCTGGCCATGCTGATGTTCTACTCTCAATATCTTTCCCTCATCCCTATGTTCGCAAGCTAGACCCTAGCGGAGGGCACCTTTCTCCCGGCGGCCCTACTGAATATGAACATTGTTATTGACGGGGGTGGAAGCCGCAGTCGAGCGTGACCGCGAGTGGCGAGCAGCGCAGGATCTGACGGCGCACAGTACGTGGATTTCCCTCCATGTGGCGCGACGCCGACGGAAAGCATTATTATGAGGCGTGGTCTATACCCTCGAGCGCGAGTTCTTCCTTTGAACCGTTGTACTTGAGTTCGGCTCCCCGGTCCCTATGTCATTTTCCTCTCGAATGTGAAATAGAGCGGCCGTGACGTCACCGCAGTCAGTTTGTTTTGCTTTGGACGCCAACTCTTCCCTCCGATGAAGCAGGATTCTACCAAGCTGGGCGGCGATGGAGCTCTCTTAGGACAATATTGTCTCAGATCATTGCCGACGTTGACACATTGAGTGGACAGCCTCTTCCGACCGGACGGAGTCTCCGGTGAACCCCGCATTTGGAAAATCAGTCTCATCCCCGAAATACTCATTTTTGGACGATCCGACCGCAGCACGAAGACCGAACGAACCGAATCTCAACAAAAGGGAAGCAAGATGGCAGCGAACTTCAGATCTGATCGTCTGAGGCTGCCCTCCACTGCAGACAAACGAGGAATGGCGTCATCCCGCAACGGAGCCTTTCTAGTTGAGATCGTCGAAGTGAACATCAGAATCAACATGGGCTTCGAAGTTTCGGGGACGGCCGGTCGCCCTCTGTATATTTCCTCGATAAAAACGGAGCTTGACTATGAGGAAGCGTGGGTCACGAGCTCCGAGCGGACCTCGGTCCGGGGATAAGAAACTAATAACTTGCATGAACATCGATTCCTGCGGGACGTTGTCGTCCCTCGGCATAGGTCCGTGGTCTCCCGCATCAAGGTGGATCCCAAGACGTCATTCGGAATACAGATTGCAACATCTCCCCAATCTCTTCGATTCCTCCTGCCAGAGTTGTCCCGCGTGACGAGCTCTCGGCCCAAGGGCCCCCGTCGGGCCGACAGGTGCGCTATTTTCCGGCGCTCATCGTGTCGGTATCTGTGGAGCTGCACAGCAGGCTACGTCCAACTCGCTAGCAACAGCTGTAGAATAGTGCTGAAGATAACGATGAGCATTCGTGCGATTGTGCCAAGGGTTCTGGATCGGGGGCGGCTTCACGCAAGAATACCGTAGTTTTCCGGCATCCTACGCAACATCGAAAACTGCGGGAACATCTAACAGAGAAAATTATGGCTTGGATCACCTGCTTTGGGAGAGGTCCCGAGATGGGTCGCAGCCGATACGAGCTCCTTCCTGAAGGCAAATGTACCGGATTCATGATTATTTCGGATTTTCTCGTCGCTCATTAACAGTCGATTCGACGGTACGGGTCTCCTGCCCCTGTACGATTCTTCAGAGATTAGGGCCGCGATTCAAATCACATTATTTCGCGCTTGTCTGCTTCGTTCGTTTGCACAAAGACTCGCAAAAGCAATTTCGATTCACTTGGAAAAAGCGTTCTCCGTCTCCGGAAACTCGTAATCCGCGCAACGCCCGACCTAAAATGCGTTAGCGCAGCTTAGGAGAGGTGCGCTGTCTAACTTGTTTCTTTTAGTGTTCCAACAGAGAACGTCGTTCTCACACTTTTTTTCCGGGAACTCTCGCAGGGAAACGAACTCGCAGCACCTAAATGAGCGCCCATGAACGGCCGCGGAGTCAACGGCTCTCAGCGTTCCGCATCTCGACAATCCCATTACCGCGATTAGTGAAAGCAGTCGCATTCAGGAATATTAATCTACAGAGATTAATTGAATCCATCCAGCTCGCCGTCGGCGGCCTCCAGGAGATACGTGCGCTGAGTGCATCCATTATAAGCACGAAATTTATGCCGTCGCCAGTCGTAGTCGTTGAGGGAAATTATTGGGATTTCGGAAGCTCCTCCCGATATACACTCATTTCCTCCCAGGAACTCGGCGGCTCTCATTTCGGGACGGTTGTCTCCCCTCCGACGTCCGCCACTCGATAAACTGCGAGGTATCGAAGAGTGATTGAGTCGCGACGAGCAATCGTTCGCGAAGTTGTCGAGGCGAGGAGGACAAGCGTTCGATGATGTGACATCTATCAGCGGCAAACTCTCCAGCGGCACTTCTGCTTTGAGGTTCGAATTTATCCGATGCGACACATTCCAAACCGGCTCGGCTCGCCCGAGGGTCGGAGCAGTCTTAGCGATCTGACGACAGGGGAACGGAAATATCTCTGGAGGTCGGGCGGGCGGGGTAGGCTCAGGCATACAATACGCCTCTCGATCTGAGATCCCGATTCGAGCAATGAGGAAACAGGTTTTTTATTTCAGTGCTTAGCTGTTCCCGGCGAGATGCGTGTTACCCACATTCGGTCGTGACATTCATCTCAGCCCCACAATAGAATCCCTACCTTGAGAAATGATCCTCATTTCTAGCGAGCCCCATGCACAACTGGGATTCCGCCATTGCCTTGGGCAAGCCCACGATCAACGAAGAATCCTCGCAATCGAGTCTGGGTGCTCCTGGGCAAACCTCGATTCTCTGTATGACTGCGCATCGGATGAGAGTCGTTGAATTTTCAATCTGGACTTTCCATAGCTCTAAAGCATGAGCAGATTCACCACAGTCTCTCTTCGATTTAATCTCGCCCACGATATCCGGGAGCAGATGATTGTCTTGCAGAGCATGAGATTCCATCTCCTGGAAGCTCATTCTGATTCGGTCGCGGGTTTGATCTCGACTGAAGCTTCGCTCGGAGGCCGTCGTCGGACCGATGATAGGCTGCGATCTCTGGGCTTGTCGGACCGAACTCGGCTTCGCCTGCGGCAGAAGTGAGCCTATTGTCGGCCACGGGAGTCCGCGAGCACTCAGGATACGATACCATCATTCCCGGGGGGGTCACATGGTGTATCGGCCGTGTCGCTTCAGAGGAAAGATTTCTATTCGGGCGGCGGCCGGACAATTTCTCGCGAGCACTCCCCTATCTCTCACAGAAAAAAAACAGTGTTTTTGAAAGTCCGATTCCAATCGCTGAGGGCCTTCCAGGAACCGGCTGACGAACGAATAGGTTTCCACGGTCGGGCTCTAGTATTCGAGTTTTCATCAGCATCGAAGCGGCGGAGGAGACCGTGGAGGCTTTGACTATCGCCGATATACTCGGTGAAAAAGCTCGACCCGATCGACACCACAAATAATTGGAACACAACACCCCAAGGGATCATTTCACTCAATCTCCGCGTTTGGCAAACGCGACAGAAATGGACCTTCCACCATGCTCGTCTCGTCTCGGGATAGGTCATCGATTGCTTCCTGAAGCCAACACTTTACATGATCTACAGACGGAAGACTCCGCTCTTTCACCTTTCCCTTACTCAGGGAAAGCTGTACTCTACCTCATCTTGTCGCCCTTACCGGACGATAGATTAAGACCTCAGCAGCTTGACGGCGAAGATGTCGTACGTTGAGATCAGACGACCGGGTTAGGGGAAGGGTTCACGCTCATTATCTGAACTTAGATCGCTCGGCAATACGATGGACGCGCCTGGAGCGATCGAAGGTTGGAGGATCTCGAGGGGGCAAGGACTAGTGGAGAAATCGATTCACTGAGCGGACCGTTGTTTCAAGATAGCTCATATAATGGTGCTCTACCGATGAAGAGGGTGAATGACTGTGATACAAGGACACTTTTAGAAGATGCAGCTCTCAAGGGTCTTTGCCCCAACTTCCAAGGATCTCGATCGCCGTCATGGTGGAGATGGAGAGACGAGCTGAACTATGACAACTCTGCCCTCTGGGTGAGTACGGGTAGGGGCCGCGTCACTCAGATTGGAACAACTTTGTTCGATCGACCCTATCACGACAAAGAGATACATATCCACGCGCGGACACGCGCTTTAGAGTTCCAAAGAGTCTGGTGGAATTCGCCCCGTATTGTCCAGCGTTCTGCCTAGCAGGGTTGGAGTGGGGAAATTCCGTGATCGTCGAGGTCATTCCGTGTCGTGAGTATACATCCATATGATCGATTACCTCCCTGCAGCGGCGGATTCACGAATTCGCCGCCCCCAGGCTTAACCCGGATCGCCGTCCTGATACAACCCATCTGGGAATGAGTACCGATTCGTCTCGGCGCTTGCTCAGAGTTTCTAAGATTTCTTTTCTATTCCACAAAAAGCCTGAGGATCCGTGGACTTAGAAATTGTCTCCACTTATTCAGTCGATCCAAGAGGCGGAAAAAGAAAAGTTCCTTCTCGGAATAGATGATCGTTCGTTCATTTTGAGACGGCTCCCCGCCGTTAATCTGGCAGCCCCAAGCTAATGGACAGAATTGTCGTCCTCGTCTCGGTCTCGAATGATTTCACCGAGGGGGTTGTCGAGGATCACAGAAGATCCAACCAGGATTCCGCCGCCCCCCGAAAACTGCCGCCCTAGTCTATAGCCTACTAAGCCTACTGGGTAAATCCGCCACTGCCTCCATGGCACTCCTTCGGGCGCTGGGCGAAGGATGACAAACATCCAAAGGAGCGTGTCCTGATTATCTTCCGGGAGTCTTCGGCTGAGGCGCGGCTATGATCTCGTTCGAAGCTCTGCCTCGAGTTCCGAATGAATCTTGATTCTGTATTTTCTGGCAACGGATATTTTAGAATTATTAGAACTTATGATGGAGTCGGTCTTAGCTGTCCTCCAGCGACAAACCTAACTCGTTACGCTCCCACAAAATTCTCTATCTGACTGCGACAGGAGCCGACCCCCGGGTCTCGTTCGCAATCGCCTTCGCTATTGATTCAGGAATAGCGGCTGTTCGAGGTTTCTCCCAGCGTCTCCCTTTAATCAGAGCAGGGCACCAGCTTCTCCCCGGTGATACCTGTATACATACCCAGCATCTGGCATCTCCATCCGTTCCAGAGCGGTAACTATTTCTATGTCGACGCGATGAGCCCTATTCTAGCTTCGGAGAGTCTGGAGGCTTGGACAGCGGGGCCTCGGGGAACCAGGAGACAACTGGGGGCCAGCAATGGAAATTCCATCCCGGATCCGAGGGACCCTGAGCATGTGAATGAATGCAGTGATCAGAGGAGGAATCGCGCTGCGATTTCGTTTATTTAAGTACCCGACGTCTCAAACACGAAGGAGCTCTTCTGGAATCACTCCAGATCGCCCCAGAGAGGAGCATGTGAAGGGTTCGACTGAAGCCTGATTCAAAGCTTCCGTGCGACCTTACTGCTCATCACCCAACATTCACTTGATCCAGCCTCGTACACGGACTCATCCATACTGTGAACAAATGTTTTGAAGCCTAGGCGCCGCAGGATTCACCCTAAACGGGAGGCTCGTGTTGATCGCATGTCACATCGGGAAGCTAATCGAAGTTCGCAATCATCGGTCAAGCTCGGCCGTGGAAGCGTTGGAAAGCAACAGGTCTCCTGGCTGACAGCAGTCGATTGGTCAGGAGTTTCCGCTCTCGCTCGAGCTCCGCAGCTTCCATCCTATTAGCTTTTATGGACTTTTGCAGGAATGCGGTCTCGGACAGGCTCAAGTCATCGCGAGCCTTGACAGCATTGACTTGTTTTCTCCTGTACAGTATCAATAAATAACGAACAATGAGTTCGCAGATTTCGAAGGCGATGAGCACTGTGAGGCCGAGGTAGGTACCCATCTGACCTCCAACTTCAACTAGAGCTTCCACATAGGTCATTTTCCACGTCCCGGCGAAATACTCCATCTCGATTTGCTGCAAGGATACCGGACCTCCACTCGATTGCATTCATCGGAGTTCTATCATTGAAGCCGGCATGAGAAAATCTGAACCTACCTCAAAATATACGAAAACTTTGACCAGTCCAGTCGCTCTGTTCGCAAGGAGGAAGTCGGCATCGTGGAAACTCTTAAGTCCGGATAGCCATCGCGATCGTGACGTACTAAGGCGGTACTGCATTTCTTCGCACTGTGGTCGGCATAAGTCCGCGCATTTATCGAAAAACCTGAACGGAGGAAATCATCAGATCTCTTCCCTCCGGTCGCGGGGAAGCAATCCCATTCGACTGAGGTGACTAGGGGGGGGGGCAACCTGAGACCTACTCTGAGGGGCTGCTCTGCATTTTAGTCGAGCAGATATATCCGCATTTCTCCACATCGTAGAATTTCCTCAGCTGAGGATCTCGGATCAATTCACTCGGATCGCATCTGCTTTTGGAGTCGTTGGTTGCTGCGAGAAGAAATCGTCACCGTAGCTCGTACCAGAGAAAACTCTGATCCTGGAATTTGTGGTACCACTCTCTTCCACAATTCATAGAGATCGTTTTCGCAGTATCGGACCTGGTGGCATGGCCGGACAAGCTTTCGGCATTCCAGTTGTCAAGTTGTACAAATCTGCCACGATGCATTCGCACACCTGCATGATGGGGATTATTCTTTGAATTTCTTGCTTTTCAGAGAACTTCATCTCGAACCCTTCTCGGACACTTTCAATCTCCTCTCTAACCTCTGATATAATCTTCTGAGTGCAGGCTTCAGTACATGCATGTGGTTCGTATCTGAAAATCACCGACATAGGAAATATCTTAAGCCCCCGACAAATGAAGCCGAACAATCTTCGGACAGGAATGTCCCATGATATTCAACAGTATATGGCCGATTTGGAAATATCTAACTGTTCTCGTCTGTCGGCGTAATCCATTGATTCCGGGAATTCAGAAAGACACATATCCGGTTGGGAGCCTGGTTGTCTCTCGATGCGCTTCGCCTTAATTGCAACATATGTTGTCTGATTGACCGGCAGATTGACGGAGCCTTCAAGATGAAGGGTGATGAATTATTTCAAATTTTGAGTTCTATCAAATCTGAAAAAAGATGCGCTCGCTGTGCGGGTCGATCGAGCAGTTTTCTGAGGAACGGCACCGCTCGGTTCTCACCGAACATCGGGTGGGCTCCTTCACCCGGAGTGTGCAGTTTGAGCAAAAATCCGACCCCATCACTAATTTCGTCGATGAGCTGTTCGGGTTCGACGTCGAGGAGCATGATCAACCCGCGACGGAACATAGTCATGTTGAAGACCTAGAACGAAACGACATCAGTCGGCTGAATTGAGACTGCTCGGAGCCCATATTCGGAGATGGGCTGTGCCTCTAAGGGCTCAACCGAAGAAGGGACACCCCTCTCTTGACTGTCCCCTCAAACCGTGTACTTGATCCTTTCTGTCTCCTCTTGCGAGGGTCAGGCATTGAGCCGAAATCGGCTAATCACTCACCTTCAAGGTGTTGACTCCGTTCTGAATATCGAATGTATGATTGCAAAAAATGCACCAGCACCTCCCCGCCTCCATATCTATAACCTCGGTGAAATAGGCCGCAGGGCACGGCCTACCCTGGACTAAGCAGCCGCGGAGGGAATCTATAATGAATTTGTGTTCAGGAGTCTATTGTTGAGAACAGGATTCAGAGCGGGGAATGTCTGGTCTCATTGTATTATTGTGTTTCCAGGTCTTCCAGAGCAATCTTCACGTTTATTGGATGTTATGGTACGAATGAACTCGGAAGAATCTCCATAGGTGGATTTTCAAGCTCCATAGGTACATATGAACGTCAGATGAGGACCGTTCTTCCGCGGGGTCTGAAGTTCCATCTATTCGTTTCCAGTTGATCTGGGGGACGTAGCCCACGATGGGAGTCGAGCCCACATTCATGGACCCCGATCATGCCGAAAGCGGGAGTGGAGCCACAGAGCGACACATAACTAGATGAAGCCGCAAATCGCCACAGAGACGGGTGTCGAGTGGGTTGCGGATATCCGCGGGACGGGATTGCGAGTGCACCTTCGTGCAGCTGAAGCCGCTGCCTACTGGTGATTTCAGTGATTATTCGACAAACCTGCGATGTCGTGGCCGAACTCGTGCAGGAAGTCGTATTCGACCATGGCTGGTATCATCTGTCTGAAGTTTTTCGGTGTCAGTTGGCTCCTCTTAGCTCCACAGAGATCCTCCAGACCTTCTCGTTCAATCGCTGACAAATTCCACTTTGCGATGACGCTGTCTCGCCGATCACACAGCGGTATCTTTCTTATAGGATTTTTGTTGCAGATAGTAATCGCTGGCAAGGTGATGTTGAAGGGCTCGATGGCGTTAATTTGGAAAACTGACTCTCGAGCGAAATAGCCGACGACGAGTCCATAACTCATGTATATTGACAGCCCCAACATCGCAAGATATATCGCGAAGAAATACAGTCGTCTCGCGGTAGTTTCCGGTCGGTAAACGCTGCCGAGCGCCGTATCTGAGTTGACGAGCAGTTTTTGCAGGGGTTTCTTCTCCTCATGATAAATCGATAGCCTCCTGGCGTAGTACACTGCTTGGCTCGCTCCCTTGTATTTGTTTCGCAGAGCCGCATCTTCAGCTTGGAGCTCTCTGGCGATCTCGTCGTGAGTCATTTTCGGCAGCTCATCCGGGTCCACTTCATTGAAACGGTACATGGCTCTGCGCACTACTCCGCACGACGGGATCCGAGTTCCCGGCGAAAAGAAGCTCGGAAGGGATCCGAGTGCAGTAGGGGAACAACTTCAATGAAACACACTGCTAGGGAACCACCAACTTTCTGATCTGAGCCGAGCATTGACGTGAAGGTAGATTGAGATCTCAAGGTCAAGTACGGGTGGCGATTAGATCGGAGCCCGGCGATTCGGCGATCCATGCTTCCTCTTAGCGAAGCGGCTCTTGTCGAAAACATGTTCACATGGTACGAGAGTTTTGTAGAAAGAAGACCGTGGCTCTACGGCAATAGTATTTTGATATCGGCTCAGTTCTCGATCTTCGGGGTGAACGAAGAAACCATCCAGCGGCTCACTAGCGCCTCAGCCAGTGAACATCTATGGACCGATGTGGCTTATAGACACAAGGCGAAGCAGTTACTAGCAGAAGCCAAAGCCACAAAACATGTGAATGGAATGCGATCGTTTCCCCGCGAGTTTGTTTTTCGACAAATGGCGCAGGTTTACGTTAGTCTCCAGCGGAGAAGCCAACGGCTAGGAGCCGACAAGAGACCCTATTTCTCAGAAGACCCATTGAGGCGTTAGCGTTAGCCGGTCGTCATCGGAGCGTATTCAAAGAGTGCCGACGACGACGACCATGACGCCGGCTATCACATGAGGATGGCGACTACGACGACGATTACCACCAGAACGCCTCAGCGAGCCCCCGATGGAGCGATTTCCATCGGCAGCATATGAGCTTTGTTCGGATGTTGTTCTTTTTTTGTGAGGAGATGTTCTCGTGGGACGCTCGGAAAACTTCGGCTCCGGACTCGCTCATCCACATCTCCCACAAGCACCCGCAATGGATGGAAACTCGGGATGCGCGTGTACTCGCTTTGCGAGCAGTGTATTCAATCGAGTCCATTACTCGGGCGTCAATTAGGCACGCGCAGAGGAATTTCCGACTTCCGCGGGTTGATCTTAAGGCGGGTTGGAGCGTTGAGACAAACGAACATGCTCGTTAGAACTATCGCTCTCCGGAGGCTTCTGAAAAGAAGGTGAAGCAACGTCCACTCGAAGCCGCCCTGTTCAGTATGTTAATAAGAACATGAACGAAACACATGTCTGAAAGGTTTCGTCGAATGGTAGTGGATCTATAGAACAGTCCCGGGATTCTTGCGCAAGCCTCGTTAATCATTGAAGCCGTGGCGATCGCGCTAACCCCTAATTTGGATCCGAAGTTTTTTTGGCCCGCGAGTGTCTTTCGCTCGATCTGGACTCGATTCAAAACCCATAGTGAAACCCTGCATGCTTGCGCTCCGAATGGTCAAGCGGAGGATCGATTCTCAACGAGGGTGAAGTCGACCCGGGCGACAACCCTGATGATGAAGAAGGTCGGTGCTGCCGTTTTCGGGGAGTGGGTGTCGTGGTCGTGACAGGCGAAAGACGTCTCACGGCGACGCGACCGTCTCCAGGCCGGAGCCATCGGTCGGACCCACTGCGGTACCTGCCGTCTTCACTAAAAAAAATTGAAGCTATATCCGCATTGGGGTTAAGTCATCGAGGGCCAGGGGAACAGATATTTGCATGGAAAGAAAAAAATAGTGAAGGATGCACGTTATGTTCCGGGGTCCACTGCGTGCGCTCAATCAAGGATAACGTGCGAAGGCTTCAGATGGCTATGTATGGTTGGCCTCTGGAAGGTGTCTGTTCTCCAGAGAAGTCTGGTGGAGAATCCTCTATTCCCCCGGATATTGATCTACTTTCTGATTCAGCCAGCCCCGGGCCCTGACGCTCGACGCAGAACGGCGCCGCGCCAGTCGCTTCTATGGCGAGTAGCTGGTCATTTCAGCGCCAACCTACCGGACGACCCCGGCATAGCTCTGGATTTGAGGGCCTTTCAAGAGAGTGGCACATTTGCCCGAAGCTCACTTACGGATGAAGTTGGGATATCCGTGGTTTCGACGGCAAACCTGGTCGCATGGTCGTCAGAAAAAGAGTGAACGATGGGGGACCTTACAGAGCTCCGAGAGAGCTTCGTGTGCACGATTGGATAATGTTTTCAATTGGAATTTCGATGAACAAGTGAACTCGGAGTCGGGTATCGATTGAGCCGAATCCGAACATCGGACAAGTCGGAATCGCGTTCACCATCCAAAAGACATCACGGCTTCAGCTTGGAGCTCTTGAGAATAAGTTCGGAGTTCGTGGCTAATCGATCCGATCCCACGTGGTCCGAAGATGCGGTCCATCAAATCAAATGGGGCTGCTCTCGAACGCGGGGTTCGATGCGCTCGTCGCCCCACCCTCGTCGCAACTCGGATTCTTAGTAAAGCAATGGTAGTTGCCGTGGGCTGATTGCCTACCCGAAGAAGAAGACCTGCTCTGGTCCGGGATCTCGACCGCAGCCAGCTCACGGGACTCCGAACGACATGAGTGGTCCAAGACTCGCCCTCCGGAGCCTTGGAGTGGAGAGAATGAATGCTGCTCTGCTCGCGTTAAAACCCCGGCACACAGCACAGCTCGAACGCGCTCAAACTTCGGTCGGTCTACAAGTGGCGATCACGTCTGTGTTTAATTCTTGTCTCTTGTACTCTGACGGTGAGTTTCCATTGCAATAGTGTCTACTGTGCCATGTACACTCAGCCTGCCGGAAAGTGGTTGTGATTTTCGACGAAACTCCGTCTCAGAACGAAGGACGACACCTTCCGCACATTGTACCTGTCGGTGGACGGCAGAAGCGTGCTCCATCGATAAGCCCAACAATACAAGCCTATCGGTTCATTCAAGTTGAGAGCGTTCCTCCGTCACGGAAAGGTGCTTCCCGTGATTTCGAGTCGAGCCCCAACTCCAGCATGCTGTGATTCAGGCGATCGGGGTTTTCCCGAGTGCTCCGTGTGGGAGACGTGAGGGAAGTCGCAGATCAAGGATTCCGGTTCTTGTTCAGCGAAACTCCATACGATTTGCCCGAAAAAGACCCTTTCACGGCAACGGAGGCGTCGGTCGAGCGAGAACTTTCGATACACGACAACAGGTCCTGGTCGCCGAAGCGGCTATAGAACCAGAGAGATAGGCCGAATTCTTTCGCCAGCTTGGACCGGAGCTGCGCTTACTCCGCCGACCGGATCTTGCTTAGCGTCCAAAACTTCCTGTATTGGAAGCAGACACGTTCGGTGACCGACTTACAATGCACTGCGGAGATGTGCCGATTCGGATGATATAAGTTTTATTCTTAATTAATTGCAGGAGCGATGGCTGAATCGAAGGGGATTCCTCCCAAGAAGGCCGGTCGGGCGAGGATTCTGCAAACGAAACAACATGACACTTGTCTCCGCCTGATCCAGGCCGTCAAGATTAGGCCGGTCCTCTACAACTCGAAACGAATCGAGTACAGAAACATGGATCTCAAGCATACAGCATGGAGCGAGGTGCAGGATGTCGTCAAAATGGCTTCAAGTGAGAACCGATTTGCAAACTAAGCTTCAACCCCGATATTGTGTGATTGTGAACGACCCAAGATCGGTGGGGCTCCATAGCACCTACATTCCCGGATAGCTAACAGTGATGCCTTCCGCAGTCGCCTCGTGCCAGAAGCTCTGGAAAACTCTCCGCGATCGCTTCATAAGGGAGCTTCGCGCAGTGGAGAATTCCGAGAGAGCTGGGAAGAAATCGAAGGACGAGCCCGCCTCCTCGTGGCCGTATTACGAACGCTTATCCTTCTACAAAGATTGTGGACGCGCCCCGAGGTAAGCGCACGAACGAGAATTTCGCAACTCCCGCACGGCTCGTCACCGTCTCGCAGGCCGTCAGTAAATAATTTCATGTGTTTCTAGGACCTACACGCGCTCACGAAAGCCGCGTAATTCCGTAACGTCGGTCTCATCTAACGATGACAGCAGAGATAATTCAAGGAACGCAGCAGCCCTGGCTTCGAATTCCAACTCGCCGGTGCTCGTGAATGCACCCTCTCCGACTGACTTACCCTCCACTTCACGCGACTCGAACTCGAACCCGGCTCCGCCGGCGGTCGCTGAGCTGTCGGTGGCGGCCGACGCACAGATTTGCACGGTGTCCCCGGCTGTTCAGGGACCGGCGAGCTCTACTCCTCTCGCAGAGGTTAAGCCACTCGTGTCGGTGTCTCCCGACCTCATCGATATGAGTCCGGAAGCTACAGCGGCTCACAGGGTAAGTTACCCGGGGTAGATCAGGTCATCAGAAGAAAACGATCTTCGACGCGATCGGGAGCAATCTTTCGGAGCAGTTGCTGATCAGAAGCAGATCGTCTGATACAAGATTGTTTTCTAGGCTTTCATAGAGGATGTGATGCACAGAGCCTCGAACCGTGATTCCGGAGTTGCTCCAAGACTCAACCAAACGGTTGATCTTCCGATCGCCACTCCCGCACGACGAATTCCTCTCCGAGAGTGCCCCCCGAACATCCCGTTCCAGGCCAAGATTGAACAGGGTAAGCTTCCGTCCCCGACAAAGAATGCCTCAGAGGAATCTTGCGAGAACATCTCGTCCTCTTGGATAGTGTTTAGACGTAGAAATACGTCATTGCTTTCACCTATAGACCCCATCGGGTGAGAAGAGACCGTCACGGGGAGGATGCAACGGAAATGACGTGCATCGGCGAACAGCGCGCCAAATTTGAAAATACGCGAGGCGAAGACCTCCGAATCTGCCGGACGGCAGTCGCCGAACCTAGTTGAGGCATATACTTTGTCTCTGCAGCTCTTTGAGGAAGGTGACCGTCATGATCCCGGGGATCAGAATGCGCTTATGACTCTTATTATCTCGATGGCTCGAATCTACTCGATCGTCACGGGAGATGTAACGGAAGTGACGTGCATCGGAGATGACCGCGCCGAATTCGAAAATAGGCGAGGCGAAGACCTACGAATCTGCGGAACGGCAGTCGCCGAGGCGATTTAACGCCTACCTTGTGTTCATAGCTTTCTCATAGCTGAGGCAAGGCGAATGTCTCGAACGCGGAGGTTCAGCATGGGCACATGATCCCCATGATCCCGAGACTGTGTAGCTACTCTACTCAGCAGGTAGCGTTGTGGTCCGCAAGCGGCGATTAGTAAGACGGCCGTCCACCATGCGACTTCTCAGCCGACCAGAATCGCGGCGACTTGTGGGAGACGATGCCTCGACGGTCGTTCCGACGGCTGATGGAGGGGATTAATTTCTGACGCTTTCTAGTGTCTGCATAGTTTGTTCTAAACTTCGGGAATCGGGTACGGAGTGAAGACAGCTCATGGATATCTGTGTATCTGATATAATGACATTGTTTTATTGCGCAAGCCTGACTTGGACTTGAGTTGCTGAGTGGGGTACCTCGCCATCATCAGAAGCCATCATCCGATGAGGATAGGTCGAGGACTGTGAATTGGGGTCGGAGTTAATACGGTTTCGAAAATTGATTGACAGTCGCGTGATTATCATTCTCGATTATGACTCCAGAGCACTTTGGCGTATTTCTACGCGAACTTCGGTTCGGCCACCGGCCGACCCGGCACTAAATTTTTTCGGTGGGTTTCACTAAGATAGATTTCATCTTTCTCTCGACGAATCCAGAGCCCGTTTGGCGACTGTCAGATACCGGAACTTGCGGCATAGTGCAATACGGCAACGATGAAAATCATCACAACAACAATCAGGTGCTCGGAGTAAATGAACAGGCTCTAGATCTGAGCCGTGATGTGTCCGGATCACAACCGTTCAGCGCGATCGTTCAGAGTCCCGTGCCTCGGTACCTGCCGGCGGCCGTCTACGAACACGATCAGGGGACCTCGGTCCGTGAAGGAAAACCGCTGGATGCAGTGATTCAAGAGTGTTCCACTAGGAAACGCAGTAAGTTCGAACTTTTCTTCTCTCACCGCGCATTCTCTGTCTCAAGTCGTATCGCCGGGAGCCCTCTAGGTCGCCCCTCGCAGGCCTTTGAACGCATCGGACCTTAAATTCCTCCCAGCTCATAAGACCATCTCTTCCCTAGAATCTGTGATGAACGGAAGCGCTGCAAAGAACGCTCGCACGGACGACGAAGACGAACTCTTCGCATTGTCGCTCGTCCCCGCCCTTAAACGTCTTAGTGAACAAGAGAAGTCCATCTTGAAAGTGAGAATCATGCAGAATCTAGCCGAAGCTGCATGTGGCAAGCTTACCCAAATTTAGGTAGCCACAACCACCAAATACCCGGCCCAGACAACCCACACACGTTATAAGAAGTTAAACCTCCTATTTATGAACCACCACGATCTCAAAGAAGAACGCCCTGAAAAGCTCTAGTTTCCACGCTGAGTGTTGACGAAGCGACGAAGTATTGGAGATTAGAGCTTGGCTTAACTTATCTCACAAAGTTCCGATCTTGAGGAGAGCTCCTCGAAAAAAAAACTCGTTCAGCAAAAACTAAAAAAAAAGAAACGATCCCTGCCGGCCTAAAAAGAAAAACAAAAACAGCGTCGCGAGTGGGAACGCGGCATTCACCCTCATTACGAAATGAAGTGCCCGAACCCACGAGAGCTGACCTGATTTCCTCGACGAGACGATCACCGATGAGACCCTCAGGGTCGCCAAGGATGTTTGGGGATCGCTGAATCGGTCGTCATCATAATAGAATCAGCTTTGTAGCCATCATCCGCTGGGTACAAACTCGTATTCTACATCGCAAGATCTCATCATGTGCTTTATATATACGCTTCGGACTCTCTAGACTTCGTGTCGGTGTATCAGAGGATACACCGACCCAACGTCTAGGGTGTATCCTCTGATACACCGAGTAAGTTAATGTACTTTTGTTACCCTTTTCATTCTTTAAGTATTTTTCGATTAATAAAAACGTCTTCGAGACCCCAAGGATCAGAGCAAACATTCCCGAGGCCCCCTGCCTCCGTAACACTCGCCGTTCAGAAGCGAGTTCTTATAGGTATTTAGGTATGTCTACACACATTTACCGCCTGATCCTTGGTGAGTCTCGATTTTTTCCGTATAACCTGTTCCTTCCTTCCGTTGAAAATCTCCTCCGGAATCACTGCCTTCTACATCGTGGAGAGACAGATAGTCGACTTAGGGGATCGCTCCACAGAAATAGCTCAATTTGAAGAGCGCGGAGAGGCATTTGTGTAGCCAATGTCCCCGATGTGATGGGAGGGATATTACCCAGCATCTTTGGCGACGACTAGACCAGCCGGAGTAGTAGAGCCGGAAAAGTTTTTCTCGCACTTAGCCAAAAGGAGTGCCCGGGATTCAACACGGGTAGGCAGACTATGAGATACAACATCGCCGGAAGTTTGAATCCGGAACGACTTAACGCTTCCTTCATTCGACACCAAGCGCCTCCCTCGATCCATTCAATCATGGAAGGTGATTCGTGGCCTCACTTGTCAGGGGCGCGGCGTTTTGCAGACACCTCGGGACTCGGCGGTAGGAACGATGTCGATTCATTCGTCAGACCGTGGGAGCTACACTGGCGATTTTCAATGACGATTGAGCGTGTTTGCGTCGAGAAGAAAGATGCCGACCCTCTAGTTTTCAAGATGAGCCTCTCGAGTGCCCGATGCGAATATCCTTGATACGAAATCTTCTTATCCGCGTGTCGAAAGCTATAACGACGCTATTCCGCAAATAGTCTTGGATTTTAAATCTGACATACGGATGACTCGATTTATAATCGAACGTCGAAATGAATTCGGGATTCCGCCTGCTTTCACCTCGCCATATCTACTGTGTGAGGGCTCGGAATCGGGGAGAGGGAAGGAGTAGTTGCTCCTGAGGATGCCGGGATCAGGATCAGAATAGTCTGCAATATGTTAAAGTGTTAGTTTGCGGCGAAGGGACGACGAGAACAAGGGACCTCGGGCAAGAGCGGGAATTTCAAGTAGCGCTTGTCGCTCGCCGGCGTGGCACTGACGATCTAAGAGTTTTCTACGATGTTACACTCCCTCACCTCTCGAACATAGCGATTGCCACTCCAATGTCCAAGCCATCCGAGCAGTTTAGGCTGACGTTATCGTACCTTCAAAATGAAAACTGTGATCATCCTCACGTTGCTGAGTCTCACCGCTGCGGTGCCCCTGGGATGCAGAAAGTTCTATTGCTTGGCCAAGCAGCCGTGTGGAGTTCCCGTTCCCGAGTGCGCGAGAGGCTACGAAAATTTCGGTCGACTCGAACCATGGATGAAACTTGTCCACGGGAATGCCTACGTTGTTGGAATAGCACCTCCTGTTGAGCGCGCCACGGAGTTCGAAGCCCACTTCGGGGCACGATGTCTCATAACTTTTCGTGTGCAAACACCGCACGAACCTTATCCGCGAGACGCGTGTATTGCAGCGAACAACGTTAGCGACGATGTGATCCTCGACTGCTGAAGCTGAAATTTCGTTCGAAGATTGCATAAGTTTCAGTCATACTCTGTGCGCGAAAGGACTTCTGAGCTGAGGAATGTGTCAATGACGATGCGCTCTCTCTCGGAATGAGGACGCACTGAGATTCTTCAGTCGTGTGTCGTTTCTTGGAGATTCGAAACAACGTTCCACTTGGGAATAAACTCGATCAAGCGATATGCGGAATGGACGCTTGTGTATTTCGGATTTCTAGGTTCCTGTTCATACCACAAATGAGGGAATGAGGTCTTGACTTCTTGACTCGATGTTTTGATACCTTGTAATGACCCGATGCCGGAAATCTTGCTATTCAGGGTCGAAACTAGGGAGAGGAGTCGACTTCAAGGTGTTAAGTTCCCATTCCTCTTCTGCTGAATTTCGGCCGAGGAGTTCGATCTTTACGGAGAAGACTCCCTGAAGGCTATAGCGATTCATGAGACACCTATGAATCGTCTCGATACTCCCCTCCGGACACTCTCTTTTCTCAATCGAGACTTTGGTAGAATTGTCTCAGGGAACATGATGCTGTCTCTAGGAGGATCTCGCCGAACTCGCTAGCGATCTCAGCCGCTATAGATTCACCGAAAACAAAGCATTCGAAAACTTCTTTGCACATACGGTAGATCGTTCATTTCCCCTCAGTAAAATTTTGGATACTCATGCACGGATACCGGTTAGTTTCACTCCCGTCGGAGCCTCCGGGAATATGTCCACAGCAGATCGTCCGGATACCTGAACGCAGCCAAAACGCGACTGCCGTTGATCTTCAGCTTGCGATCACGTCTATTTCGGTTCTTGTCCCCTGCGCTCGGTGACTTTTTCTTGCAGAGGTACTCATGTACGGTGCTCTCTGTCAGGTATAAGCCTAGGGGAGCGTAGAAGAATCTTCGACAACAACTAACCTCTGGACGGTAAACGGAGCCTCTGATATGTCCATGTAGTGAAATCCGTTCAGAAGAGGCGAAGAAGGCCTGCCGGGGTGAAGCCTTCCGCGCTATGGCGCTCGGCGGTGGCCCGCTCCACAGAAGGATACCACGATCGAGGCTTGATCCGCGCACAGCTCGAGAGCATTACCACATGAGAGGGGTTAGCCATCCGACCCGGCTCTTAAACGAAGCAGGTCTATGCTCAGCGTGCCGACTGAATCTAAATTCTATGGCGAGCGGAAGTAGGTGTGCCCAGAGCGACTCAGAGACTTTCGAAGCAAAGATCTGGCGTATTGACTGACGTTTCCATCCATTTCATTCAACTGGAGCTCCATCAGAAGGAAGTAGTTTCGATATGCTCAGAGATAAAGGAAATTTCTCTCGATTGAAAAGAAAATCCATCAAATCAACGAGAACAGATAGACACAGTCACTCAAGTAAGTAGGCTGCCATAGGCCGAGATGGCCGAGATATATCACGTTCGTCGGGCATACAAGTCGAGAAATCCCGGTCTCCCCATGCACGTCTCGCTTATCTCCTGTGCGCGAGAGACCAAACGCGCCCCTCTCTTCGAGGCCTCATATGCCCTGATAGCCTTCCGGAGATGACTTCCGTCCCATTTTCTCATCTGTTTCCTTGAGCTAAACGTGACTATGAGTTTGAGTCTGAACGCCTCAACATGCTAGCGGCGAGCGTCACATGTTAGCGCAGCGAGCGGCACCGGCTTAGCGCGGTCGTGTGAGTCTTTCCTCCTTCCCCCTCAAGTTCGTCTGCTCGTCTAAACACAGACAGATTCAGAATCAGACTGTTTGGCCGCCTTCGAAAGAATACTTCTCGGCACTGTGAAAGTTCGGGGATTTCCGACCGGAGTTTTGAGGTGAGCAGATCTTCGTTAGAATAAGTTTCCAGAGCACAGACCTCCGCGTTCCGTCGTTCCTTGTGTACGGCTTCTCGGAGCGATAGGATGATTGCGTTAAAGAGGCATATTAGGAGACAAGTTCGCTTTGTTCGGTATTCGGACTCTTACGATTGATTGAACTCTCGACCATTCCCTCAACGGCGACCTCCGGCGAGGAGTTGTCCTCATCAATGTTGAGCTACTCGGTGCTCACCCGCCCTGTTTTTGAATTCCGGCGGAATCTTGGCGGAGGGAGACTAACCCGAATGGGACTCGCTCCCTTCCCTCGAACCTAGCGCTCTCTGGATCGCACAGGAGTGAATTTCCGAATAGTATTGACTTATGTTGCTTTTCGATGTCTCTGATGTTGAGCAAGCTTCCGATCAGATATTCCTTGTCGTTCGGAGAGCTCGAAGCAAATTACTTGGAACCAGAGAGAAGCTGTTGTGAGATCGCCTCGGCTGGCCTACGTGCTCCTTTTGCGATCCCCCTCTGTCACCGTCGTTGTTTCATTCTAGCGCATACGATGGATACGGAGAGGTCCGAGACCCCTGATCGACTCTCTGACGCGGACGACTACGACAAAGAAGACGACAAGGAGGAGGATCCCCCAGCATCGACCGAGGCCAAGAATGAACCCGACCGTCAGCAGCAAAGAGACAGCAAAGAAGTCGATGACATAATCACTCCCGATTCCCCGGCGCACAACTCTCAGCCTGAAGAGGTAAGTTGTTCTCGTTTCCCGATCCCGACATTCGACCCTCCGTAATTTGACGACAGATCTCCGATGTTCAGAAATGCGCTTTATCCTCTCCTGTAAGCCGTCCCCCCCCCCCCCACCAAAGACAATTGCTTTCCAGCCCGATGATGAGCCGCAGCCATCTACCAGTATTGTGCCCCCTCCCCCGCCTAAAACTCGGGAAGAGATCGAGCAAGAAGAACGGGAGAAGATGAGGGTGCTGGTGTCTTCTTTTTCGGAGGATCAACTGAATCGCTACGAGATGTACAGGAGGTAAGTCAGCGGATTCTGGAATACGGATCTGGGGTCCGTGGATAAAGATGAAAGTCGAGAGAGAAAAAAGCTCCATCTTCGCGTTGTTGGGCCGTGATTGAGAAGAGTTCCCTTTTCAGAGCTGCATTCCCTAAAGCCGCGATCAAACGTCTAGTGCAATCAATAGCCGGCTGCTCCGTTTCACAGAATGTAGTCATTGCGATCTCTGGTATCGCGAAAGTCTTCGTCGGTGAGGTCGTGGAGAAAGCACTAGACTGCATGGAACACAACGAAGATGGTGATCTCAAAGGACCTATTGAGCCGAAACACATAAGGGAAGCCGTGCGGCGGCTCCGGAGCGCTCAGAACATGCCGAAACGTGTACGTCCGAATCCTTATTTCCGATGACGAGAGGCGCCCAGGAATATGATTTTGTGCTCATCGATGTGATTCCACATCAGGAGATCGTTGCGCCAGGATATCTCGACCGTCCTGTGTACAGCTTGTGTACCATATTCTCTTGAATCATCTGCGTCCGTCATCGAGAATGATTAGCGATGGGGGGCTATCAGAAAAATAATGTTCTGAAACACCTGTATGTATATGATGAAACCCTGGGGGGCGATTTATTGTCATGCACATAGGTTTCTCATAGTTCGTTGTGGCCTGAGCTCAGGGTTGTCGACTCATAATACAAATGCTAGTATGATCGACAAACGGTCAACAAACTCCTGGAGTATTTTTACTAAAATCCAGTCTCGGCTATGGGATGCCTACAACGATGAAAAAGGAGTCGGATTTAAAACAACTCTTCTCTGACCCTGAAGACGACTCTTTGTTGGGGTCCTCCTCGAACCCCCTACAATCCACTTCTTGCATTTAGCCAATCGTCCCTCCGCGGGACGAAACTCCACCCATCGTCGAGAGGAGGCCTCGTATCAGAGGAAAACTTGGAAGACTACGAAATATATCCATGGACCCTGCATCCTTGGGAGTTACTATAGGAGTTCTGATACGGCATATGGCCCGTAATTGTGAAGGTGAAGCGGCTGTGTGAAGTGAGAACTAACGCTGCCGACGGCTGCAGTGTATCGTAGAAAGGCGTAGGGTGATTGCCGGAGCATCGTGAAACGACTGGAACGCCATGCATTCCTTGCATACATGGAGCGTTCGAGGCCCGCAAGTTTGCTTGAACGTATTGCTCGAACGTTGCGGTTCGATCGGTTGTCGAGTAATAAACGGCGGGTCTCACGTATCTACATCTGGTCCGGGTATCAAGGCATCTGCATCGATAGCGAATTTCCTGCCGTGACTTCGGAGCATGGGCGAATATTGGCTTCGCCCATGATGTGTTTCCCTCGCTGTGTTCCTCGATCGAGTCATCATGTGATTTCAGAGATGCTGTTGACCCTGAATCCATCTCCATAATCGATGAATCGCTCTCAGAGTCCAGTCGTTTCCGCGGAATCTCCCCCAAGGAGACTCTGGGCGGTCTTCTCATGAACGAAGTCACATCGGCCAAGACCATCCGGTTCTCTTTAGCCGCTTGGAGCATCTCGGTCCACGGAATACGAACTGTGCAGAAATCTCCCGGGAGAGGCGGGGCCTCCAACTGCAGCTGATTGTAGGATTCCACAGAGACCTTCACGTGTTTTAGTGTGGAATCCAAAGAAACCACGAATCCGTGCCCAGATGCTCTGGGTCGTGGTCCTCTCACCACCGATCCCGGATACTCAGCCATCGGCGCTGGCTTGATCTGTAAAGGGTCGAATGCAGATCGAATTGTATTCCGCCCGGAAAGCCTGATTCGGATAAGTCCAAAGGAGGACGGTACAGTCAACTCACATTCACGGCTCTTCCCGAGGAGTCGATGGTGATATCCATTATCATTCCTGGTTCGAGATATTTCTTGTCCTTCGGTGGCAGAAGTACATCCGCGTAGGAGAAGAATAGCTGTTTTCCCCGCAACTCCAAAGGTGTCAAGACACGTATGTAGCCGCTGCACGGAGTTTTATTCGTGGAAATGTCACTAATCAAGCCCGTAGCCATCTCGGCGAGCACTTCCACGGTCTTGGAATCAGGAGTCCCAACTCTGTTCTTCTTCGAATTCGTTTCGAAAATCTCACGCCACGATGGAGGAATGCGTCCAAGTTTTCTCTCGGATCGGAGGAATATTCACCCGGGACCGACTCCTCTCAGTATGCCAAGGAACGCCTGGTCTCCGGAATGATCTGCTCGAAGAGTTTTCGGAACTCTCCACGACTCTTGTTTTTACTCGAGTTATTCGTCTCCGAGCCGCTCCCCTGTTCGATCAGCCGCGGCGCCGTAGCTGACGTACTTTGGTGGACTTCGAATGTCATCGTGCACGTTCCGATTCTTGTGGAGTGCATCATCAGCTGGAGCCATCAATCGACGGCTTCGGAATATCCCGTCGGTCATCCCGACGAATGAGAGAATCGAATGCATACAAAAGGCATCGAGGAAGAAATCAAGCCTGTCATTCCCGAGCTGATTTATTCAGGTCCTTTCCGTGCCTCGGGAACTTTACATATGGTCGATGACGCCGATAAAGAAATCGAAGCCCCGGATGAGATAAAAATTGAGGCTTACAATCGCTGAGAAAAGACCAGAGTGTCCAGAGAGAACAAAGTTCCAGAGAGGAAATTCCCTCCCGAGAAGCTCGCGAGAGAGATGTGACAAGATCTCGCTCGAGTCGATTAGCTATGCGGCAAAAGCAGGTATGATGATTCTTAATATTCGTCTACCCAAGGTTTGATCACCGGACGATCCAAAACTCGAAATATAAATCTAACAGATCCGGCGAACACTTACAACTCGTTCGCGTCAAAATTCTCAAGGAAGCCCCGTCGCGTTGTGCCACGAAGGCATTTCCGGATTTACGCATGAAGTACAGCCAGTCGGGATCATAGGGTAGCAGTGGCTCATACTTAGACATCTCAAGCAGGAACAGGGCGCATGCATGTTCTGTAGAGGGAAGGATGGGATTTTCAAGCTCGGCAAATAACACTGGTCTTGACAGCAAGGTTCTGGGCAGCACGGCAGCGACTTCACAGGGGTGCGAGTCAGACGTGAGTTGAGAGGACGGGGCTTTGGGCTCTCGGGAGGGTATTCGTCCTCACTCGAGCTCGCGTGGCTCTGAGGGGTCTTGAAGCCAACCCTTCTAATGATGACTGGCCCGTCGATTTGTTTGGGAGTGAGGGTAGCGCCTCCAAGTCCGACGACATGTTTCTCAGGCGTGGAGACGCACCGTCTTGACATGGGCTTCTTAGTACGCGTTTCCGCTTGCGTTCCGTCGTCTGATGGTAGCTCTTCTTTACCGTCATCCTCATCATCATCCGGGATACTATCGTCAGGTATCCGGAGCCGATGAGCGCAGACGATGTCGCCGTCGAGAGGTCTCATCTCTCTAGACGCGTTGACTATTCCCGTCCAGGTCAATCGGACGACGCAGACATCTCCCAAGCCCAGGGGTTTGTCGAGTTTCAATGCCGAGTACGATGCGGGATCGATGTCGACTTGCTCGAGGGTGAAATCCAGCGCCACACGCATATTCTTACCGTCGCGGCTCGGAGCTCGAACCACAGCACCCTGATACATTGCGGGACTCAGCGGAGCTATCTGTAGAAGTAATCGGGAGAAAGAATTAGTCCGAATAATCTCCCACTGTCCTCAGACCACAGATAAGTTAATCTTCGCGCTTAAGGCGACTCTCACCTGTAAGGCCTTGAAGTCTACGGGGCTTTTCATGTTGTCCATCGGCTTATCTATAATAATGAATTTTAATTGCATCCCGACGCGGAGGAGCTCCCTCTCATTTTTGGGGACGGTGACGTCGGAGAAGAAGAACGAGGCTTCTCGACCGCGCAATTCGATAGGGGTCAGGAGCAAGAGGAAGCCGTAGGGATCGGGCTTTTTCGGGAAAACTTTCTTGATGATACCGGTTGAATCCAGGTGTTTTCCGTTGCCGATAGCCTTGAATGAATCGGACAAATAACGAACGTCACTGATCCCTAGGTCCACGCAAGCGAAGATGCTACGGGGTCTCCGAAAACTCCGAGCGAGTCCGCCCTGCGCGTACTCGGATATTGCGGAAAATACTCAATGCTCACCATTGTTTCCTCGTCTCGTAGATTTGGCACGGTCGAAACTTGTTTTCCCACTCGTCACCGCTTGAGACGCGCTCTCTTCGGACAACCGGGGAGATGTCTGAGACAGCAGCGGGATGTTGCGCTGGAACCTCGACCGAAGGATTCTCGTCGGTCGAGTTTCCTGACCAGCTTAGAAGCACGTGCAACGACCAGAATTCACTCGCGAATTTCCGGGGCTTCCAGAATCGTCTCGCCGTTCCTCCACCCCGAATGCACTTGGAATTATTGGGTCAGGAGACGGGGAACCGGTTCAACGATCTCGTTTCCGACGCAGCAAGTGGCATGAGTGAAGCGTCCATGTCGTCGCAACCTTGTTTTCGTGTTTTCGCGCATCACTCGGAATCAGTAAGAGACATACGCTCCCCCTCGACAGTGGCGGGAAACGTTCATAAATTCCCATCGAGGGTGGACGGTTCTCTTTCGTCCAATCTCCGCGTCATTTCTGCTCGGATTTCTGATAGTCCGCCTCAGCATCGAGAAGCTCGGTTAGCCAAGCGAAGTTTCCCTCGCAATGAACCAAATGAGTGGGAGGAAAGACACGAAAGAGGTTCCGATTTCCTAGGGGCTGAAGGTACTGACTCTTCTGCAGCGGTCCACGCTCCATGTGCTTCGAGAATCTGAGGGTAGATCATACGTTCTCTACAGGTGATGCTGAGTATTTCATTCCAAATAATCGATCCGGTCCAGAAAAGTTGTGGACCAACCGATGAGCCAACTCCTGCCGCCACAGATCAGGCTCTTACGGGAAGAGCCGCGGGCCGTCACACCGTTCCGTCCACCGTGGTCGATAAGCGGAGACGCTACTTCCCTTGGATATCGCTCATCCATTATCGAGTTCATGATGGGCGAGAGTCTCACTGAGGCGGTTCTGACTGTGACAAGGACCTGAAATACAAGCACAGAGCTTCGCGTGCAAAACTCAGTCTGAGCTGATGATCGCCCGGATTCGATTTCGACTGCGAGAGACTCGTCCTTGATCAAACGGGGTAAATATGCTAGCATGGGTCTGAGCTGAGGAAAGAAATCTCACCGCTCAGGCGACGATCCAGGAACTATAAGAGCCCAGCATCACCCAGCGAATTTCTGTTATTCAGAGAGAGAAGTCATGTCCACAGCGGAGGCACTTCTCATTTCTCAGAGTGCAATCATGCAGTACTCCGGGCCGTTTATTAATCACAGACAGGACGCGGAAATCAGATTGGGACTTGGGACGTAACTTTCTCTTCTACGCTCCGCGAGTCAAACTCGAGTGGAGCGACCAGACGATCATGCAGATCGGCGGACTTTGAAGATGTCCCGTCGCTCATGGTTGCCCGTCGAAGCGTCGTCTCGGTGAGCGGCACTTTCCTCAGAGCTGAAATTCGTCGCGGACATCTTCTCGAGGAGTGAGTCGAGTTCATTGTTGAAGTTCGACATTTCGCGCAGCTCTCCAGACTCCACAGCGATCTCTCGTTTTCTCCTCACCGTGTTCAGTCGGCAACCCTCGAGCTCGTAGCGAATCTCCTCGAATAGCATCTAATGAAGCAGCTCGCCGACAGGGATTGGTTACACTTTGCGCTGGCCTTCTGCTGTTGGACGTAGCGAACAAATGTTTATCGTGCTGTTCCGAAACTCCCCGAGTCCTGCCAAAAACTTGACCGCATCGAAACGTTCAAACATGTGGGTTTTATTGTTTCTTGCAAAAACTTCGGATAGTCGTTCTTGGTTCTCTCGGCGACTGGGCGATGATATTTGGTATTTGGGACAATATTAGTTCGTTTCTACCGCGTTGCGATTCGACCGGGAATCTCCCTGAAAGAGAGGAGTTGTTCCGATTGGAGCGCTGCCGTGGTGGCGATAAAAAAAAATCGAGAGTAAGTCTCGCCGAAGATTTGGCGTCAGGTGAAAGGACAGCAAGAAACAGCCTGAAAAATCCGCTTTGGCGGGGAAGGCATTGTGTTCGCCACACGAATACGTTCGCTCTCTCTGAGCGCTTTCGTTACCGGCCGGATCAATGCCTGGGCTCCGTGGTTACATTATGTACATATCCTGCTTCCGTAGCGTATTCGCAGCGATCACCGATCCCCCTCTTTTCCACCGGGACACTCTCTCAATCAGCCCCGACCGACGCTCTGTAATGCGTATGAATGCGAACCTGCCGTGAGAGGACAGCGTCGATAAATATTAATATAAGAGTAGGCATATCTGACTGGTCGACTGGCTGGCGGGCAGGTAGGTAGGCCGGCCGATTCACCGACTCGGGAATCGGTAGCATCGGCAAGCAGTAGCTCAAGCGAGGTGTATAATCATGGTTGCCATGACCACAGTGAGAATACAATCGTAATTGAGATGTGACAGCCTCACCTCGACGGCATATCTAGAACTGCACACCATTTTGATCATGATGTATTCTAGTTCAATGCCCTGAACGTACGAAAATCGCTCGTCCATCAATCAGGGACTCCTGCCTGAGACGCCCGACATCGCGCTTCGATCTGGGCTATCCGGTCGAGCGAAACACTTTCCTTCGGAAAGGAGAAAAAAGAAGGCTGATTGCCGAGGTGCCGATGAGCTCCTCCCGGAAGCTGAGGGAGTCCGGCAAGGGCGCATCTTGACCACGGGGATTAGCGTAGTACTCCACTCACTTGTCAGACTCGGTCGATATTCGACAGAGGAATCGAACTTTTTGTCGGGATCGCTCGCGGGCAGGTCTTGATCAGCTGCTTCAAAACATCAACGATGCCGTAAGGGTTTCAGCCAGTCGTGGAGCGAGCGGATTTATCTGCCTTCCGATCGGCCGAGCACGTCTATCTCGCGGATCAATCTGATGCCGTTGTTTTCTGTTTCATTTTATGCAAATGAACATTGGCTGACAGTAAAGTTGTTCTGTGTGGATTCGCATACCGCTGATCGGAGTTTGTCGTGATCTTCAGAGGACATTGAGTCATCATCTGCTGTGTCTCTAAGTTTTTCAACAGCGACAAGTCTACAGTCAATGAAGTCTATAACCTTTTTTTCGCGTTGCCGTTCGGTCTATCCCTGTCCCGTGCTGACGCACACCTCACCTACGGGCTGTTGGGACAATCTGTTTGAACAACGGACTGCTCGAGGAGGAAGCGATTTTATCTAACTACGGAAGCAATCCACCGGATCGCCTCCTAAGCGTACGTTTTCGACTCTTCCTGGATTCACACGGACAGCAATCACGGTATTCTCGGCCAGCATCACCCAACGAGTATTCCATCAGAAAAACTCGGTTCGGAAAATTTTCCTGCGATTCCTCATCGGGTTCGGAAGTCGGAGTTCCGACCCAGATCGAGTTTCTGCGGAATATGTGCGGCGTATCTGGGCGCGTCGATATGGAGAACGATACCGAGAATCGGCCGCAGAGAAGCCGCTCAATGCTTTGACACCTTCTGAGTGAGTCTTGCAGCGTAGGAGGAAAAGCGCGGATTCCGGCTGAACAGAGAGGAGGAGATGCATCATCCACTGCTCCACCGCACGAATGGGAGGCGATTCAACACCTACACCCCCGGAACGGAAGCTGGTCTCGATAAAAATCCCCAAAATCACTTCCTCTCTCTCTCCACTGCGAACAATTCCTCCTTGGTGCTTGTGGTGTGGAAAATATTTGTCGCCTGACTTCTGATGACTGAGTTTTCCTTTTTGCCTTGTGCTCCTCGGGCGAAGATCCATGACTGCCGCTGCGTCGGTCCGACGACCGGCAGCAACACTCCATCCTATGCCGCTGGCGTCGCCCGATCCATCTATTAATAAAATTGACATCCAAGCACTTTGGCCGACTCGGTGCGTGTACGCTGGAGGCGGACGGTCTCGAAAAGAGTTTCCTCGGTCCTCCCACGGAATGGGGAGCCATCGCTTCCTCCCAGAACTTTAGGGAAAGGGTATCGCGTCCTTTCCGAGATCGTTCGAGGTCCGCGATCATTTTTCCCCCATTGAAAAATTATTATTGTCGGGGAGTCGCTGTCGCATTTATTTCATGGGAAAACTTGTTGCCAGATGGCATTAAATACGCACGGCAAGCTCTGGGACGTTGCGGAGCAGCCGCATACGAATCGAGGCCTGCTGGCAAGCTGAAGCTGTTTCATCCGATGCTCAGGCCGCCCATGGCATCGCGCATTCATTCTTGTCCGATCTACACAATCTCTCACTGAGGCCCTCTCGCACTTCTTCAGGTGGCCTGTTCTCTGGAAACGTCGAATGTGCGCTAAAGTCGGCGCCTCGGACAGTCACTCAGTCGCTTGGTCATCCGTAATAGGCCAGAAATCGATGGAGAAAAACTTGTTTCCGGCCGACGACTCATCTCTGTTATTTCTTTGTCCCATCTCGACGGTTTTGCCGACCGAGTTTTCGTGAAGTTGAGCGATTCCAACATTCCGACATAGACGTTCTCCGTCGGCTGAACAGAAACGGGAGGAGGTGTTTCTTTCCCTACCGAGCTCGGAGTTAGTATTAATATTGTTATATCGGAAGCCGATTCGAGGGAGCGACCTCAGGAAATGGAAGCGAAGTCATTCTTTGGTTAATTTTGCTGAGCAAACTTTTTCCTTTGGATCGGGAACGACTGTGTGCTCCCTGCGACTCTTCCTTCCGATAGCCATATTGCCTATCGATACCCACGTATCTTCCTCCCTGCTCGTCGCCCCCTCTCGCGATCGACGATTCTCAAATGACTTCCGTAGAGGAACAGGGACGCCATCGCAGCCATGACCGCCTTCGGATGTGTCGTGAGTTCTTTCTCGACACCTCTCGCGAGCCGAGAACGAGAGAACTTGTCGCTGCGATACGATGGGACATCGAGCGGTCTTGGAATTCTCCGGTATTCCGTACGGAGTGGGCAATCCAGCGTTACTCTGCGCGGTCACCGCAGCGAACTCGCGGGTTGTCGAAAACGACGGAAAGCGCTCTGTGAGCGTTGTGCTGTCTCTTCAAGGTCCAAACGGAGTGGCATCGATTGCTTACAACGACTGAGCAATTTACCCGAATTCGTGTCGCGTGTGACCCGACAAGGACTGTCTGGTGTCATGTAAATGCAGTGACGACTGAATGCGATAGAGTTG